TAAGAAAATATAGCCCCGCGGTACACCGCGGATTAAAATCTAGTAAACATTAATTTTTTCTGTGACTTTTGTTTTTCTGATTCTGTAGATGCTATTTTTTTAAAAAAAATTATTTGATCAGATATCACTGGATATACTTATTTGAGTATGATTCAATTCATCGGCAGTTGGGATATTTTTTCATGAAAAACCATTAACACTAACATTTAACAACGTAGTGGATTTTCTTTTAATTTTAATAAAAAGAGTATTGAGACCACCAAGTTGGAATGCGTAGGAGATTGGAGGAAATGATGAAGTCACAAGCCATTCAATTTAAACAATTAATTCTCCATCCCCATAGCACTTCATCATCACACATCATTTTCCTAGATGGACCTATCTGAACACTATCTCTATTCATATACCCTCGATTTGGAGAATATTAGTCCATCGAAATTGTATAAAAACTACTCCATGAAATTTTATCGGTTCATTTCCAAGAAACAAAAGTGGGTGGACGTGAGAGACGCTCTACCCAATTATGTATCCGTCTAAACTGAATTGCATCTTATGTGGCTAATTTTATTTTACGTAAGGACGATTCAAGTCGTTTAATCCATAATCAATAAATCATTCTAGTTCCGGGGACCAAGTATTGATATATACGCACAAAGAGTCAAAGAGTCCCGCACAATGATGATGACTATGCATCCAATGATAATATTTTGATATATATACACCACTTTACATTTATTCAAAACAAATCATAGTAATTGTTATGGTTGAGTTTTGCTCTCCACAAAACAATGCGTATCTATAAATCGAACACAATGTATTAATAATATTAAAAATATTACTACCAATGACAAAAAAGATTGAAAAGTTACCAATAAAGTTATGTAAATACACAATATAGAATTTGATACTGTTTATCATCTTAAGAAACTATAATACATTAATACACCTAATTGTTACCATACATTTGTAGAAGCTGCGTCTAAAGTGATGCAAAATGTACTGTATTTATTACTCTGTAAGAAAAACTATCTAAAAGGTTTTGTCAATGGTTGACAAAAAAGAGAGGCTATGTCAATGTTTTTTTTTTCTTCTAAAATTTATTTCATTTATGGAAATTAACTGTTACTCCCTCCGTTTCAAAATATAAGGCGTTTTGGAGAAATTTTTTGTTATAAAATATAAGTTGTTTTCAAGTTTCTATGAAAATTATATATTACTTTAATATTTTATTATTATTTTTATTATGCAGTCATTTTTATGATTAGATGAACTTTAAAAAAGTAGATCTTCTTAATCGGCGTACTTTTACCTAAAACGTCTTATATTTTCGGACGGAGGGAGTAACATATATACATACTCATGATTTTGTCAAGGAATGCTTTATTGACGAGATACTACTTTAATAACAAAACCATTGTTACATCTATATCGCGAATAAAACAAATTTGGAAAAGTTCCCAGATGTTCAAAAAAAAAAAAAAAACAAATTTGGAAAAGTGTGCATATATATAGCACTAAAATTCATCTACTAATTTGAAAAACAAAACAAATTTGGAAAAAGTGTGCATATAGCACTAAAATTCATCTACTAATTTGTTTTAAACAATTACGAGTTTTAACTGTTTAAGGTAGGTCTTGTCCAAGGGTCGTGATATATATCACGTGGAAAGGTTCGGTACTTCGGTATGATTATTTTGCCCTACTATAATTGAATTAAGAGGAAAGCTACTAGTAGTATTTAATTAGGTTGACTTTAAAATTGTCGACTCTAAAGCTAATCACAGTTTCGTCTTCATTTTAAGTCTCCTTAATCATTTTATTTTTACTATTAGTATAAATTCGTACTAATAAATATATTCTCCTAGAGTGTTTGCCAAATGGCGAGCCTACGTAGTTGAAACGGTGAGACTAAAGGACAAAGAACATGATGAGTCGGTTTGCATGCTTCACGCTTCCACTTCACTCGCCGTTGTTCTTGTTGCTTGTCGTCGTTTTATCTTTTTATTAATGAAAAGTGTCAATGCTAATCTAACAGAAATACAAATCACATTTTGACTCTATTTCATACGGATTGGTTACGACCATAGCTTAGATTTATTTTTAAACTTATCGAATTTCTAAACCACCTAAATTCATTATCAAAGATGAACAAAACAATTGTAACAAGAAAAACTAAACCTAAGTAAAATGATATACATAAACTAAAAATTCTATTTGTTTTCTTTTCACTTTTAACAAATTTGAAAAACTGAAACCCAAGATCGAATCCAAACTATGTTATATCATCGAACCAAATAAAAATTAATTAAAACTTTTTTCTTTTGCGCCGGACAGTCATATGTTTAAGTAATAAATGTGTTTTAGCCCAAGTCTATGTGGTCTAGTGGCAGAAGAAGCTTTGGTGAAGGGTGAAACTCCCAGACCCGAGTTCGATTCTCCCTGAAAACAAAAATACATTTGTTTGGGAAATCTGTCAGTTGGACATTGGCCCAATTGGTTTACCTGGTAGTCAGCAATGCAGGCGGCTTGACTACCTCTGGCATTAGTCGGAAAGTATTCCAAACTCGGATCAGACAGTGTGGTGGTTCAATTCTACCTGGATCGGGAGAAGTCCACTATGTAACACCTCGGTGCATTCCTACAGAAACCGACCGGATCAACCAATAGAGTTTATAAAAAAAAAAATGTGTTTTAATCTTTTAGAGATGTCGAAACCGGCTGAATCCTTGCAAGCCGAACTCATCCCGATCCCACCCACCATTGGTACAAAACAGCCAATATTTGTGCATAAACGTGCTACTCATAAACAGGCCAAGGCCGTATATATCTAACTAGTCTGATCTCATGTTTTCTCCTACGGCTATTGGGCCTAAGTCAGGCCCATTCATTAACAAAACAAAAAAATAGCTGATAGGTATCTGTTTTCAACACTTTTTTGGATAAAGAATTTTTAACACTTGTTCAACACCCTATATGATTATTTAGGTTTTAGAGAGTTTTGAAGCTTATTTATGCCATTTTAAAATTAATAACTAAAATTAACTTGAGATGTGAATATGTGATTATCTCTTGTATAATCCAACCGTGTGAGATTGCTTTAAATAGCATTTGAGTGCATAGATTATAAACGAATTAAAACATGTTGCATTACGAAAATGGTAAAAACAACTGGAACTGAAAATTGAACCAACTATTACTCTGTTACAATTAATTTAGTATAATAAAATTAAAATAGAGAAACACTTTTAAAGGAATAAAAATGTTATGGAACTGGTCAAATAAGGGAATATTGCTGATTTGGGCATTTTTTGCCCCAAAAATTTGAGAAATGGAATGGATATCAGGTCTTCACGTTTTAGGCATTTCTTGAGTAAGTGTTATTACCAATCTATCCTTTCCTTTTGTACAATCTACTCATTGCTTCTTCTTCTCCGACCACAACCACCGTATTTCTCCGATGACAATTTTGATTTTCCGGCCACAACCATTATTGCTTTTTGAAGAAGAAAACTAAACCCTAGGATAATATTTAGTAAACCCAAGGGCTTCTATAATAAACTCTTATCAAATCAGATTTCCAATTCATATTTAAATCTAAACCAAATTAAAAAAATTACATGTTTGCAATTGACAAATCTTGAAGAAAATCAAGCGAGACGATTGAAGCTCTTCACGGCGAGACGATTGAAGCTTTGACGGCGATCGTCACCATAATCGATTCGGAGCTCACCATCGTCATCGTTACCGGATCTCATCGGAGATCTAATCAGCGTCACCACAATCTCGTTCACTGGATCTCATCATCGTCATCACCGGATCGGTATCTTATACGTGCCCAGATCAATCTGAATTTCACTCCTCAAAATTCTGAATCGAAATCGTAGATCCGAGGTCGTAGTGAAAATCTCTTTCCAAATTAGATAGAAGCTCAAAATTTCGTTTGATTTTGTGTAGCTAAAAGGAAATTTGGCTTGGGAGAGAGAGAGAGATAACAGAGGCGAGAAGAGAGAAAGAGAGATAACAGAGGTTGAGGATGTGAGAAGGGGAGGGTAAAAATGTCTTTTCCCTTATAGTAGAAATTCCTAAATACGTAAGACCTTGCAATCAGTCCTAAATTGATAATTTTCCTGGGGAAAAAGCCCATTCCCGTAATTAATTCGGTCAAATAATCTAGGAATTTGGTGAAATGTGTTCTATCGAAAGTAATAAAAGAAGGCACGTGGGACGATTAATGAAGACCATTAAATTTGCATTTTAATTTATGGTCCCACGTAAATAAATCACCACCTCTAATTTTCTTTTTGCTTAATACTTCAAACTAGATAATAGTAGGGGACAAAACGATTATTAAATATATTTTAGTATATTGATAATATTGAAAGTGTTCGAATTTTATATTATAAGATAAACGGTAGTAAATTAATAAATTATCAAGATTAGTGAAAATTTTCGTTTATGTATTAAATTTTATGTTTATCATGATTTATGATATATATCTTGTTATATTAATAGATACACAAAATATTAGGTACTCTATTTTGTATAGATTTGTATCTCTTAATTACATATTTTAATTAGATTTTCGTTTTAATTAATTGAAAAAAATAAAAAAGCATAAATTAATTAGAAAAAATAATCATAAGTAAAACTAATGGTAAAATCTGTAAATATCCTAATAAATGTTGGGTCTTTAACTAAATAGATTAAGAAGAGTTGTGAGAACGACACGTCAGCATGACATTTTCGTTAATCACACATGATGGTAAGGTTATTTTTTTAAAATGCTTCTCAATTAATATATAAGGGATTATTCAATAAGTGGACAGTTGTGAATGTTCAATCTAATCGTCAGAATTTACACTACCAAACCCAATTAATTATGAGGTCTCTGCTGCAACCAATTAATATGATACTCTTCCATAGAACAATCTTTTGGTCCACGAATGATGAATCTGACAATTTTAATTCTGCATTTAACTCTATATTGAAAACAAAGAAACTTCAGAACCATATACGACATAACATAGCAACACGATCTCGATCTCACACTGGTAACACTAATCAATATAAACATTACAAAAACCCGTAATGCCATCATACATTCAAAAACAACAAAGAATAAAACTAAAAAACAAGTATAACACTACCAAACTTTATACTGATAATTTTTAACAACAAAAAAAAAAAAAAATTGTTCGCTCGTGGTGATATTGTTATGGTAAAAAAAAACTCATCTACATGATATTTGCAAAACACCTAGCGGCAATGTAAATTCCTAATCTCCCTCAATCCCAAAATTCATTTGCACTACATGTAAGAATAATAATCAATAACCTTTTTTCTTTTGTTTTCTTGATACTTCATGGACATCTAGGGTTTTTTCCTGGACCTCCATAATAAAAATAGTTACCCCACACACGATTCGTCCCACCTCTTATATCATAACAATTGGGATGATCTGCGAGAATCTTTAGATTCGAAACGGGAATAAGAGTATTGTCCCAATCAACGATTTGGAGATTCCGGAAATAAGATGCTTTACCAAAACCTTCACCGGCAAAATGGCCACTTCCCATTTGGGTCGTAGTGTGTGAACCACCGGGTCGGTTGTTCACAATCTCGCCGCCGAATTGGACCATGCTCCCATGTTGCTTTAGATGCGTGAATAGAAACGCAGGCCAATATCCGACTAATGCACCTGACCCGAATTGTAGCCACCAGTGACCGTGCTTAGGATCCTATACGTAGATTATACAAGCATGCATAATGTTATTGTTATGCTAAAACAAATTCAAATTAGTTAAGACTTTGTGGAGACACATTTTCTATATACAGGAGATGGGTTGACCCACGAAACATTGATGTGAACCATGTGAAATTCTTCTACAAAATTATAAAAGGAATGTGACTGGTAATCTTTTTGCAGAATACAACTGAATTATTATAGTTATAGTATGTGGTAAAATATTGTTACTATATATTTTTTTCATTGAGGATATGCATAAATATGTATGTGGAGAGATGAAGAAAGTTACCTTCCAAATTAACAAGCTTATATCGAATTGTCCACCTTTATACGAAGATCTAGGAGAAATCGCAGCTCCAATCGCGATTCGACGGTTGGTTTGAACGAAACCGGAACACAACAAATTGTAGCAACCCGTTGTTCGATATGCATCGGACTGAAAATCACTATCACTACCATTGTTAACAAATGTTAATTCAATAAAACTAAAAACTTTACCATAAACTAAGTAATGATACTAAAGTTGGAGGCAACATTTACCGTCCAATAAGTAAAGAATCTTGGGTAAGTATCCCCATACAACTCCGGGCTAATTTGCCAACCGGCTTCAATGGTATTAAGATCGTGAGTGAACGAACCGGCAATAACCCAAATCTGAGAAAGACTAAATTCGTATTGGCTCGCAACACGTGGCGACCACACGTTAATACTTGCTTTTGCTCCGTAGTATTGTCTCCCGGTTACATATCCCACCGCATGCTACAAAATGTTTCATTTTTTTTAAAATGATCAATCAAATAAATTCTCAAACGCTAAATTTGGAGTATCATTTTCGTAAACACAGAAAAAGAGAAAAAGGAACAGAGAATAATCTTTTTTTACGATGTGAACAGAGAATAATTCTTAGTTATGTCACGCTTCACTCCTTTGGATGATACAACTAGTAAGTGACCTTATGGTCGTGCAAAAAATTACGAAAAAGCTGATTTTTGGTATCATTCTATATCTTTTTCTTTATAGAGGATATAAAAAAGTAAGAAACCTCTGACTTTTTGCTTAATTATGGTATTAAAATGATACTTACTTCGTGTCCGTTATTAGTGGAATCTCTCCTCACGCGCCTGATTTTCCGACCAAATCTACTGACAGAACTTGCTCTTAACATGTCTTGTTCCGTTGTTCTTCGTATCGGAATCGTACCTTCCGGACAAGACTCACCGGATAAACTCCACAGCTGGGAATCTTCTTCACACGATTCATCATCTTTTTTATAACCTTCGGGGATCTCAGGCGGATCCTAACACAAGAAAATTTGTAACCTTTGATAAGAAGAAAATGGAGAAGGGAGAGGGAAAGTAAATTTACCATTGGTCTCTGTCCTTGTAAGAGAGGATGATCGAAAGCTGGTTGCTGATGAGTCGAAACACAATCTATTACATCTCCATCTGGGCTCTGCATACGTAACACATAGAGAAGAAACAGAGCAAAAAACAGAGTAAGAACAGAGTAACAAAACTTGCATGTCAGTTGACCAACAAAACAGAGCAAAAACAGAGTTATAAAGTCAACTAGGAGATCTGTATAATATACATTGATCAAATTGACAAATATGAATAAAGAAATTGCCTGAATAGTTTTCACAGCCGGCTTGTTGATCTTGTCGAGCTCTTGTCTAATCAGTTTTAGCTTCTGGAGCTCTTCTTGTGGCCGGAGAGTTTGATCAGCAGCAGTGTAATTGGAGGAAGAAGCGGTGGAGGAGAAGGAAGAAGAGAGGAGACAAAGTAAAAGAATCAATCTGAGAAAGCTAGAGGAGAACATCGTATCAGACTTGGACGAAACTTGGTGTGAAGAATGATGAAAACATCTGCTGTCTTGTTGTTTTCTTCTTGAGTGATCAAAAAGACAACATTTAATACGGTTTTGAATTGTTGTTCGTCTTCTTGATGTTACTGACACATCTCCCAACAAACCTATTAAACACATAATCACTTTCTCTAAGAAACACACTGAGAAGATCAAAACAATAAAGAAAGAATTAACTCATCGATCCTTCAACAAAAATTTATTAGGGTTGTGTGTAGCTAAAGTTTTGGGCATGTGGGTTACATAAGGTGATATAAATACATGGGTTAGTGAGGAATTCAAATTAAGGGTTTTGCAGATATCTAGAAAGTTTAAAAAGGTAAATGATAAAAGAGGAAAGAGTGATAAGAGAAGTAAACTTTATATATATGTGAGAAGGGTAATTTATAGGGAGATTTTTGGATTTGGTGTGATGATTCTTTGGTTTGAAGAAATGGGGTCAGAGCTAGTCAGATGAAATTGAGTACCTTTGAATTTGGGGTTCTTCAAAGCTCTTTGCTTTCTGGTGTTACTCTCTTTTTCTAAGCCCTTTTTGTTTTTTTACCGTTTATGTAGAGTACTGTACAAGTTAAATTTATCTTCCATGTTACAATATTTATTCCAAAATGTTGCTTGTAGAATAATGAAATGTTTTATTATGGAATCTCTTGGAATTTCTAACAAACAAATATGTTGATTATAGAAGTCTTTGTTTTTTTGGTAAGCTGTTGATTATAGAAGTCTTGAGTTTACGGTACGTAGTCTCTTTATTTAGAGACCAAAATATGCTTAATCTTCTCTCCAAGCTGGAAAAAGAATATACCACAAACTAGTAGTATTAGACTATTAGTAAATAGTGCATATTATTTGTTAGGCTCAACACCAACCGGTGATATAAATCTAATTAAACTATATATAAATTTGCGGAAAACAAAGCAGGTTTATTGATTGAAAAACATTACAATAGCATAGTACGAGTTGTGACATTTGATTGTCGAGACTCGAGAGTGTCTATTTTTTAAAGTATAATCATATTCTCTCAAAATGGAGGAGTGATTTAACCAAGCATGCCATTATGCACACTTACTTGAATCTTATATACATCTTGAGTCTTGACCAGGTTATTCTTTGTATATAGAAAATATAAAACATTTCACAATCTTGCAACTACAATATACGATAATAATTATAAGTGGGTCATTATAAGAAAAGTATTGGGAGAACCGGAGATCGATCTCCGGTTCTCCCAATAAGGGTCAATAGGTATTGAAGTTGGGGAATTAAGTGGGTGCGGTCCTCGTAGGGACACATACACATTGATGATCGTTTCGTTTGTTAGTCCATTAATCTTAATGGGTCATCGCTCTCCTCTAGCTTTTCCCCTCTCAATTTTTTTTGTTTTTCCATTTCTTTCAAACATCACTATGGCATATAAATTTTGTCTCTTTTGAGATTTTTAATCTTTTACAATACTGTTTTCTTTTTTGCTTATAATTAATTATACACAATACAAAAGCAGAGTTGACCAGATAAAACTTATGATTGAGTTAGAAAAAAAATTATGACTGAGTTTGGCTGAATGGCACAACATGATGTTAATAATAGCTAATTAACCTCAAGAAGACAATTCTCATTAATTTTGGATAATACAGTTAGATCCAACTCGCTTTAAGTTTTTAACCCAAAGTAGTAGAGGATATAAAGTTTTCCCCCATCTCTGTCTAAATTGTGAAATGTGAATTCATATCTAAACACATCCTTTTGGCGGATGCAAATTTTATGTATATGGATCCCAACGGGTTTAATGGTTGGGGCCATACGCATGCGTGCACGTATACATGAATACGTTCGTAAAGACGCATACAGACGTACTTGTAGCATAGAAAGTATGAAGAATCCGATCCATATATACCAGATCATGTGGTCTATAACAATTCTATCGTAGTTTAATATCCATGCATATTTATACGGTATGATCGAACAAAATGAGAAAATGTAAGACGATAAAATATTAAGGAAATTAAGTCAAATATTGAAGAATGTATAAGGAAAGGTCTATATATATAAAGGGGGAGAATTTGATTCCTGTGAATAAAAAGAATGGCATCAAAGGGCAATAGCTTTGGTGGCTCATAGGAGCAGTATTATTGTATATTATATGTGAATCTTTGAATCATGACTCATGAGGGAGAATTATTGCGACCACTAATTGAAAAATGAAACACCACATATTTGCATTAGTAGACAACTAATCCGAGACTACAAAATTATCTGTTCACACTAGCATTTATGCTTACCAGTTCTTGACGTAATATTTGGCTCTAACTAGCTATATAAATGTGTGACAAAAAAAAAAAAAAAAAACTAGCCATTGTAAATGTTTACGTAGGATTCAGCTTTGAGCAGAAAGTTAGAGAAACAAACTGAGTTAGTACTCCCTCCGTTTCGTTTTAGTTGTCGTTTAAAGTTTTTGCACACAAATTAAGAAAAACATTAAATTTTCTGTTTTACCATTTATTAATATATTTTATAAAAAATTTCATTGACCAAAACATTAAAACAGTAGGGATAAAACTGTAATTTTCACCAAACATTTGCATTGAAAACCTAAAACGACAACTATTATGAAACAAAATTTAAATCCTAAAACGACAACTAAATTGAAACGGAGGGGGTACTAATTAAGTGTAGATATAATTATATAACTCCAATAATCAATGCAGATTCAAAAGTTTCATATCAAAACAAAAAGTGTTTATAACATGATATTGTCGTTCTCATACTCCAGAAAACTAGGCATATAATTCAACATGGCCGATTTCTCATCATAAATTCCACTACACCATTTCCATTTCTGTGTGAACGAATATAAATACTGAAAATTCGATATAGCATTTAATCTGTTCTACTATTATAGTCTACTTTCTTTTTAACTAAAAGAAGACAGAAGGAGAATGTGAAAAAAGTTAAGAAAAAGAGGAATATTGAAGCAAAAGTAGGATACAACAATTTGATGTACGAGCAATGATGCTGTCTAAAGCCGTCCCATGCTCAGCTTTTTCTTCCACGAGGTTACATCTTTTTTTTTTTTTTTTTAAACTCAGGGGAATCCCAGACCTATGGAGGGGCCCAAACTAATCCTCTGGGGGAAGTTACATCTTATTCTTTTATTTTTTTTGAGTTAGCTAAGATCTTACTATTAAGTACCGACGAATATTTATATTTATACTGTAAGATTCGACTATGATTATCGAATGTTTATATATGATTCGGCATTGGACTATGATTAGTCATCATTTTTTGAACAAGGTGTTTCACAAAGCGGCGTGATTATTACATTTTTGTTCGGACCAAACACATTATTACCGATACATCATCATGATGCACATGATGATTAATGCCTGCATATGTTACTGTCGCTTATCTTATGACAAAAGGGCCTGAGATTTGCTAAATTGGGCTTTATATAGGCCCAGTATTTGCTAAGTTGGGCTTTATACGGTGAGAAGAAACAGAACATATGTATGTTTATCATAAGCAACCAAGAAAAAACCCTCTTAATCACACAATGTTCAAAACATTCCGAAACTGTACACAAGAGTCAAAAAAAGGGAAAAAAAAAAATCTACTGTAAATTCAAACATTTTTTCATTCTTTTTTTGTTTGTTTTCTTGTTCAAATTAAAACATTCACATCTGGCTTTATCATTATTGTTTGACGAGGGTAGAGAGAGCCAAACAATTATCAGCCATTTCGTGCAACGTACTTGTGGATTTGGCGAAGACATTCGAAGCCTTACCACCACCCATGGCGTCATTGCACGTATCAAAGTCCGTTAAGGAGGCACTAAGATTGATGTTAAGACTAAATCCATCATTTTGTTTAATGTTTTTTAACGCCTTTTGTAGATTTTCGAGCGCACTGTCATAGTTTGAGTAGCAAGTTTTGAGTCCTCCACCGCTTTTCCGGCTAATCTTGGCAGCTTCTTTGGCCTTGATCGTTCTTTTCATCAGCTCTCGTATGGATACCTCTGTCGCTGCGTTAACATTCTTTTGGCCCTTCACCACGGATCTGCACAACACCTTGAAATCTGACACGGAGCATGGATCGCGCCCGCCTCCCATAACCCGCTGAGCCATTGCTACACCGCTTTGGCTCGCGGTCAGGAGGAGGAGGACCACCGCGGTCGCAAGGTGGAGATTAGTAGACATTTTTATATGTTTTTGTGTAGAATTGTATGGTGTTTGAACACCGGTTGTTGATTATTTGAACAAAGAGAAGGAGTTTGGTTATTTATATTAATACATATGCTAAAAGAAAAAATGGGTAATTTTAGTAAGTTTTTTTAGGGAAAGAATTGAAATAATTTGTCACCGGTGAATTAGAGAGACATATCAAATTTAGTTCCTTGGTTAATTAGGTCTAATGATGGGTTGTTTCCTTCTTTTTTTTTTTTTTTCTTTGTTCTGAAAAACGCAAATTATAAATTTTCAATTCATTTTATGGTCTCTGTCTTCTGACTACGCTTCGTAATGGCCCTGCCACGGCCGACGAACAACTTACACAAAATCACCTTATTTCTTTATTCCCAATACACTGATTTGGGCTTTTATGTGTTGACATGTCTTTAACCAAGGCCATTTAAGAAAGATAGTGCAGAAGGATCTAATGCAGCAATTGTCAAGTCCAGGATTCTTGTGGGCTGGACAAATAACAAACAATGTTTTAGTCTCTTTGTCCCTTTAGGGGTTATTGATGCTAACATCTTAATTTATTTTTGTAATTTGATGTATATGATTTTGACAGATTACTCTCATCACGAAAGAGGCTTAATTATTGTGTCATTTAATAATTGTTTTAAGTCAAAAGAGTAATAGTGGTGGTTATGGGTGGCGACGGCACGATTAGCGGCCAGTGTTCACACACCTAAACATAAGTCAAAGCTTTCATCATTTTATAATTGCCAACAAATTCTAATATCTTGAAACTGACTAACGTATAGAACAAGCTCGTGATTATTCGTTTCGTTTGGCCGAAGAAAAAGATCTTTAAACGTAGGCTCAAAATGCATCATTTAATCAACAAACAACAACAAGAAAAATACAACACAACATCACTATCACTTCAAAACATGGTTTAGCTTGTACTGAAAAGATAAGAGTTTAATATTCTTAGAATGACATGACTTGGAAATAGATCTCAATTCAATGTAAGACATTATTGCAATGATTCATTAATACAGTAAGGAACGGGTTGGATATTTGGAGTTGACGCTGACTTTGATAGTCACGAGTTGGTCGCTTTGCTTCTAGTTCTAGAGGTCGATCATTACGGGACCCATCGGCTTCTATTATTTTCTTGTTTCTAAATAAAAATTCGCCGACAATTATCTGGTACCAATATTTCAAAAACCGTGTCTAGTCGTTTTAAATTTTTTACTTTTATTCCTAATTAATCCATTGTTTTTCACATATTAAAAATTGATTGTAAATGTTTTTATAATTTACAATATTTTTTTAATTCTAAACCAATAATACTCCATTGGTCCTAAAAGATTGATGTTCTAATTTTTGTTATTTGTTTCACAAATATTGATTTCATAGTTTTTTATTGACTTATATTAATATATAGTAAATTTTAAAATACAATGGTTGAAAATAATTAAATTTCTTAGATTACTATTGGTTGAGTATTATTAAATACTTATTATCAAAAATAATATTAAAATGTTTACACAATGATTAAATTATTAATATGTATGAAAAATCCAAAACATCAAACGATTAGGAACAAAGGGAATAGTACTTAATTAATTTTTTTGAAATTTACAATTTATCATTATGCCTAATAAAAAATCACAGATAACTTTAAAAATAGTCTATCTTTTTGAAATAAATATTTTCCTAGTATAAACAAAAATGTAACGACGTTTAGTACTATACTTTTATGTTTTCAGAGCCAAAAGTATACACAAATTTATGTAAAAGTTTTAAACAACTATTTAATTTTTTAAGCTCTATCTGCCTGATAGAAATATAACGAAAACAAAACACTGTTTAACTACTTCACAACCTAAGTATATCTATAGGCTTTATGTTCACATATTTTCATACAAAAATTACATGCAAATACTGTAATTTCTTATTAACCATGCTTTATCAAGAATATTAAAACAAAACAAAAAAACGTAATTTTCAAAGTCATTATCAAAAGAAAAAAAAACGTAATTTTCAGAAAGTGATGGTTGATTAGTTTGACAAGAATGAAACTGTCATTTTCAGAATGTATCAAGTAATTCAAAATAAGCGGCAAATTTTGATAAGTTGAGGGTTGAATAATTAACATTGTCGATGATTAGTGGTGAAGAAAGAATAAAAAGACTGATTGATTGAAAAAAAAAAAAAAAAAAGACTGATTGATTGAAGTATCTTTGATTCGGAGACAACCTTCACAATACAGTTGACAAAAGCTTACGCTATTATCCATTACGTTGCTTGTTTTCTCCTAATACTACAAAAAAAGCGTTATGAAAGATTGAATATCAGGAAATCACCTCGAACTTTAGAAGATTCTCATACTAATCCTGTAAGGCTGTAACAGTTTTATATTTCATTTCGCAAAATGAGTTTGTTGGAATTGGACTATAGTCAGTGCTTGTAAATTAGTAAAATATTTTTTTTACTATCACGATGTTACGACAATTCGACGAAAAACTATGGTTTGTTGTTGGTTGTGTTATGATTAATGCTCCCATGGTTTGTTTTCGTTTACGTTTGCCTTTACACTTCTATGTTATAAAAAATAGATTATCAGCACATAACTGGATTCAAATTTTGAAAGCCTTGATTCACATCTGAACTCCAAAACATTTGTCAACTATGTTAATTCATTTGCTCGTATTATCAAAATTATTGTTACCAACAATTATGAACCGAAAACGCATAAAACTTAACAATTACCTAATTCATCTACAAATTTGAAATTCCTATCTCTATACATTGTCATAATTTTGAAGATGCAGCTTCTGAAGGAGTACCTGAACTAAGTCAAGAAGTAACTCAAGAGAACAGAGCAACATGAACAAGATTAAGGAAATATGCAGAATCTTGTTATGGCGGTTTGAAGTGAAGACTAGAAGCTTAGAGAAGATTCTAGAAGATTGAAGAGTTTCCTTTTGCAAGAAGAAAAGGAAACATGAAGACAAAGGACAATTTCCTATTCCATAAAGAAAAAGGAAATTGTCCATTCCAATTAGTTTTAGAATTGAAAATTGACCTGTTGTATGGTCTCAACCTATTTAGTATAAATAGGAGTGCTAAAGCTTGCAGAAAGCTTAGCACAATCACGAGAGAGAATTCCTAGCTATTAAGTCTTAGTTTGAGAGAAATAGAGAACTAGAGGCTTAAAGAGAGCTAAGGGTTTTAAGGAGAGTTATTGTTCTTAATCGGTCTGTGATTAAGGAACAAGACTTAGTGAGAATAGAAAATAGTGTTAAAGGAGAAACCTTGTAAACATATTTTCTATTAATCAAAAGAGTTTTTGAGAAATTCTGAGTTGCATCGTGAACTAATTCAAAACTTAGTAGCTCTTGCATTTTCAAATTTCTTCATCGGTTTTTAACATTGTGTGAGAACTTGAGATAATAACGAGACCCACTTCAACACCTATGCCAAGTGCCAACTATCATAAACCGTAACAGAAAACTTGTTTTTTTGGTTGCTTAGAAAAAAACTATGCGTGGCAAAACAGAACATTTTCGAAAGAGAAAACAGTGACAAAAGCAATGACGTCACGATGCCCCGTGATAATAACTCCCACACGGCATCGTTTTCGCATTCACTGCCCCCAAATGTGATCGTTATCTTCCGTTGACACATACGAGACAAAAGTCTCTCTTTGACTTCTCATACAATTGGAAAATTTCCGAGTTTTCTTCTTATGAGTTTTTGACCCAACAACCAAATTCGAAGAAATTCAATTTCAACTTCCCAATCGTGTCTCCTTCCTTGTTTCTCTTACTCTATCACCAAATCCATTTCAAAGAGAGAAAAAAAAAAAAAACAGAGCAAAAGATCAAAAACCTTACACAAATGCTGTCTTGTTCTAAAGCTTAAACACTGAAACCAGATGCCGATTCTAACTCTTCTTCTTCTTATTCTTCCTCTGGGTTTTTTTATAAACCCTTCTGTTTCAGACTCGAGAGGAGCGACGGTGGCTCAGATATGCAGCAACAGAACAACACCGCCGCAACAGAGAAGTCTCTTCGTCAAAACTTTCCTTGCCGCTATGGACGCCGTATCTCCACTTGTGGAAGCTAAAGGTTATGGCCAAGTGGTCAACAACGCAAACGGAAATCTAACCGTCTACGCTTATGGAGAGTGTATAAAAGATCTTAATAAGAAAGACTGTGACTTGTGTTTCGCTCAGATCAAAGCTAAAGTCCCTATTTGCTTACCTTTCCAAAGAGGTACTCGTGGTGGTCAAGTCTTCTCAGATGGTTGCTACATCAGGTACGATGATTACAATTTCTTTAACGAGACCTTAGGCTTGCAAGATCGGACAGTTTGTGCTCCAAAGGAGATAACCGGAGTAAACCGGACGGTATTCCGGGATAACGCTGCGGAGTTGGTGAAGAACATGAGTGTGGAGGCGGTGAGAAATGGTGGATTCTATGCTGGTTTTGTGGATAGACATAATGTGACGGTTCACGGTCTGGCTCAGTGTTGGGAGACTCTTAATCGTAGTGGTTGTGTTGAGTGTTTGAGTAAAGCTTCAGTGAGTATTGGTTCTTGTTTGGTTAATGAAGAAGGTCGAGTTCTTAGTGCTGGTTGTTATATGAGATTTTCTACTCAAAAGTTTTATAACAATTCTGGAAATTCCACATCAGATGGTAATGGTGGTAAGTAGAATAAGCTTGAAATGTGATTTAAATTTAGTATGTGTTATAACATTTATGGTATGTTAAGGGAGATCTGTGAGAGAACATTGATTTAGCAACATTCTTGTTGATCAGGTCATAACCATTTGGGTGTGATTTTGGCGGTGACATCTTCGGTTGTGGCATTTGTTCTGTTGGTCTCTGCCGCTGGTTTCTTGCTTAAAAAGAGACATGCCAAGAAGCAAAGAGGTTTGTGAGTTCTTTGTGGAATTAGTTAAGATTTATGTTCCAGAATCAGGATTAGTCATAGAGTTTGAGTGGTTATAATAGTAAAGTTATAAAGTCTTGATCTTAACTGAAACTTTTTTTCTTTTGTTTTGTGCAATGTAATGTAGAGAAGAAGCAGCTAGGGTCATTATTCATGCTTGCGAACAAATCTAATCTCTGTTTCTCCTATGAGAATCTCGAGAGGGCTACCGATTACTTCAGCGATAAAAATAAGTTAGGACAAGGAGGATCTGGCTCTGTCTATAAGGTAAGTTGTGTTATTATCCGTTTCTTCTTGATGTTGCTACTCTTCAATTGGTTAATTTCTTGCTCGTTTTTATTGTGTGGAATAGGGAGTTCTTACTAACGGTAAGACTGTTGCGGTAAAGAGACTGTTCTTCAACACAAAGCAATGGGTGGATCATTTCTTTAACGAAGTCAATTTAATAAGCCAAGTCAATCACAAGAACCTTGTGAAGCTCTTGGGATGCAGCATAACTGGACCAGAGAGCCTTCTGGTGTATGAATACATTGCAAATCAAAGCCTCCACGACTATCTTTTTGGTTTGTTTTCGACAATCGTATACCTTTTTCTACGGTTACCATCTCTTGATGGATCTTTATTGACTAGTTCTTGCTGCTTTTTTTTTGGTTCAGTAAGAAAAGATGTTCAACCGTTGAATTGGGCGAAGAGATTCAAGATTATACTTGGTACAGCAGAAGGAATGGCGTATCTTCACGAAGAGTCGAATCTTAGAATCATACATAGAGACATTAAGCTGAGCAATATCCTTTTGGAAGATGATTTTACTCCAAGAATTGCTGATTTTGGATTGGCTAGATTGTTCCCAGAGGACAAGACTCATATCAGCACTGCCATCGCCGGTACACTGTAAAGTCTCAAAACTTATCTTTGTAACTTTATATCTCTACCGAGTCTTGTGTGTTTTCTGAAGTTTCTCACTTGTGGAAACAGAGGCTACATGGCTCCAGAATATGTAGTACGAGGAAAACTGACCGAGAAAGCAGATGTTTACAGTTTCGGAGTTCTTATGATTGAAGTTATAACCGGAAAACGTAACAATGCCTTCGTACAAGAAGCTGGTTCGATCCTACAAACGGTAAATAACTCTCTAAAAATAGTTAACATTTTCTTGATGATTGTTTTTTAGCTTAAACCCTTTTCTTGAATCTTGAAAACATATTTTAGGTATGGAGTCTGTACAGAACAAGAAATCTGGAAGAAGCAGTGGATCCAATCTTGGGGGATAACTTCAACAAGATAGAAGCGTCACGGCTACTTCAAATCGGTCTTCTCTGCGTTCAAGCAGCGTTTGATCAGCGGCCTGCGATGTCTACAGTTGTGAAAATGATGAAAGGGAGTTTGGAGATTCACACGCCGACGCAACCGCCGTTTCTGAATCCAGGGAGTGTAGTAGAGATGAGAAAGATGATGATGACTCCCACGACGAATCAGTCTAATTCTTCAGGATCGAGGAGTGACTACATAACCGAGGGTTCGAGTTTCTTCGAACCTAGATGAGGTTTTAGATCGTGTTACATATATCAGTATCCTTTTGTGTGGATTCTGAATCATCTTGTGTCATATGTACAAAAGTTGAGATGCCAATTAATCGTGTGTTAGCTAGGAGCTGAAGGTTAAGTATGTGCCACGACAATGTCATAGAAGCTAGGAACTGAACAATGTAGAGCTTACATGGTGGGGAGTGGGGACAGATTCTGGTTTAGTCTCGGTTTTGATTTTAGTGATTCGGTTTACGGTTCAGTAGTTTTATTTTGTGTGTTAATTTCAGTAGCTTTGTTTATTATCATACGGTTTTTGTGTTTGTTCTTGAGTCAATAATTTTCTACGTTTTAACTTTACAAAAAAAAAAATTATTGTAAATGTCTTACTTCAAAAAAAACATATGTAACCCACAAATGCAAAGAAATTCGATTAAAACCATCGATAAGGCCATAAGGATTATATGAAACATATAAAAGTTACCGAAAATTTTCAGGTCAAGAAAAATACGTATAATTTTTTATTTTTTTTGAGAATCGTGAAATTTGGATCTGAATGTTCTAATTTCTGCGGATTATTTTTTTGGAAATACCCTTTTTTAAAACGGATTTGAATCCAAAGCTTTCTTGTTAGTGTTTTTCTTTTTCTTTTAAATAAGTCAATAGAGACTAGACCAAGAACCGCTTGGTATAAAATTATATATAATATATACTGATAAGCTTATTATATAACATGTCTTTACTCTAGCCAACTAGATTAACATTTTTAGAATTGAATGTCCAACTACTTCTCATTTTCTTTGTAATTGATCTCGAGTAAAAACTTTGACCATAGCAACTTGTAAATGGTAATTTTTTTTTTCTTTTTTCTAGATCTTTCATTACACAAAAAAACAAAGGGTTTCAGCCGCCGACACTTCTGAGAAGTGAGAACCCAGAAAATTTGATTCCGATCTCCCTCTCCGATGAGTGGCGCTCCTCGCCGTCACTGTGAGAGGGGCTATATTGCTCCGTCGTAAGTTGTCTTTTTGTTGTCTTGCATCGCCTTGGCTTCTTCTGGTGGATCGGTGGTGAGGTTAGCTTATCAGCGTTGTAGGTCTTCTCGGTGAGGTTTGTTTCGGGTCGGGTAAGCTTTCTTCTTGCTCTTCCTCCTTTGAGTAGTTGAGGCTAGTTGTTTTGGTTTGAGTGAGTATTTCCCGCTTGCGTTTGGGGATTCTTTGGATTTGCTTCGAGTTTGATTTTGTGATTTGCGGATTCGGTTGGAGCGGCTTTGTCTATGGGATTTGTGGCTATTGCGAAACTGTTGGCTCCGGATGTATAGGATCTACGGTGCTGCTCTAAGAATCATGCCTTGGTTTTGCTTGTTCCGTCCCTAGCCTCGTCGTTCTTGCGTTGATAGTCTCTAAGCCGTTTGTTGAGTGATGTTTGGGTACTAGTCAGGTTCTGTCCAGACTCTGCTCTTCTATCCGCTCCTGGTCGACTCGTCTTAACCATTGAATTCTTTTGGGTTCGTCACCTTGCTAAGAAGAAGTTTAGTTTGTTTGTTTTGGATTGATAGACCTTTATGTTTGCAGATGCTTCTTCTCCCTGATGTTGTTCGCTGTGTTTGACAACCGTCTCGATCCATCGTCGTTCTCATTCTTGTGATTGGTGATATTTGAGAGGTTGGGCCTCTCTCCTTGTCTTGCTTTCGTGAATCTGTTTAGATAGGTTTGCCTTTTGATGATTTCTAGTTAGACATTGTTGGACGTGGCAGTCGTCGTAGTCGTATTCGGAAGCGTGCTCGAGATTCTCTCAACTCATAGGTTTTGCTTGCCGGGTTCTGAAGTCTTTGTTTCTTGGTTTCGAGAGATCAGCTCTCATCGTGATAGGAGAAGGTAGATGTTATTTTAGGAGAATATGTATGTGCGTTGTCGCAGGTGCTTCAAAAGAAATGGTTTCCTTGTATTCTTTTGTCTATTGGTTTTCTTAAGGTTTTTACCTTCTGCTTCTTTCTTAGTTTATGGTTTCGTTCTTTTGCGTTGTCGGGTTGCTATATTTGCTTTGTATTTCTAGTGTTTTACGTTCGCCTAGTTTCCGGGGACATTTATGTCGTCCGCCGGCTTATGCTTCCCTCTTTTGGGCTTTGGTTTCCGGGTATATTCAGTATTTCTGCCGGCATATGCAATCACAAAATATATCATTCTATGTTTTTATATATAAAATCAGTTGACATAAAAAAAAAAAAAAAAATCTTTCATTACACCATACCACCAACTAGGCCCACTAATCAACCCAACAAACCTATTTCTTTATCTAAAATAGTCCAACGTCACTTATTCTTATTTTGTTGAATGTCGTGTTCATGCTAACACTACGGAGATGTGACGTTTTTTTTTTTTTTTTTTTTTTTAACATCTTTGGATCGACAAGGCTCGATCCATAGTCAATCCCTACTACGCGGAGTAACGCGACTTCGTGGAGTCGAACTCCAGTAGAAAAGACGGAGTCAAGTAGACTTAATCACTTGACTAAAGGCACATCCCGTTTTCTTTGTCTCCTTAAATATCCAGAAAATTAAATTTAATGAAAGAAGATAAATGAAACCGGAAAAGAGATTTATCCGATTAAACCAAACCGGCTCCACATCAAATAAGCTCTATTAATTAATTATTTAGTCCACCGGTTTTTAGGTTTATGAAACCGACAAATCAATGAAGACAGCGACTTCAAACATGATCGAGCTGGTTTGGTTTCCAAGTGTGAATTCAAGACTAAGAAGAACTCCAAAATCTCAAATTTTTTTTTTTTGACTAACCAGTAGAGAGAGAGAGAGAGAAACAGCAAATTTGGTTGACTGACTATAACAAAACAATTTCATCAAAGTCAAACTGTTGAAAAATTCCTCTCTTTGGTTGTAAATTCTTCAATTTTCATCATTTCCAATTCTTGATCTCTCTGCTTCTTCTTTCTAAATTTCATACCTTGAAAACAGAACACAAAACCCTTGATCAACTCCAAAATAGGAGATCTCTTTCAATCAAAACCAAACAAAATGAAGAAAGAACCAATTCATATCCTTCCTCTGTACCTTCCATGTCTCTTAATGTTTCTTCTTTCATCACTCCGTCAAATCACCGGAGACGCAAGGGCTCGAGCTGTTCAAGTCACTTGCTCACCCTTACTTGAGCACAACGAAACCGCTTATGTCCCAAATTTCGTAGCCACAATGGAGAAAATCAGTACACAAGTACAAACTTCCGGTTTTGGAGTTGCTCTCACCGGTACAGGACCTGATGCTAACTACGGTCTTGCACAGTGCTACGGTGATCTTCCTTTAAACGATTGTGTCCTCTGTTACGCGGAAGCACGGACGATGCTTCCGCAGTGTTATCCTCAGAACGGAGGTAGAATCTTTCTTGATGGATGTTTTATGAGAGCTGAGAATTATAGTTTCTATAACGAATTCAAAGGACGTGAAGATAACGTTGTGTGTGGAAACACGACACGAAAGAGTGAGACTTTCGGTGATGCGGTGAGGCAGGGGCTGAGAAATGCGGTTGCTGAGGCTTCTGGGAGTGGAGGGTACGCTCGTGCTTCTGCAAAGGCCGGTGAATCTGAATCTGAATCCGCGTTTGTGTTGGCGAATTGCTGGAGAACTTTGAGTCCTGATTCTTGTAAACAGTGTTTGGAGAACGCGTCTGCTTCTGTGGTTAAGGGGTGTTTGCCATGGTCAGAGGGACGTGCGCTTCACACTGGATGTTTCCTTAGGTACTCTGATCAAGATTTCTTGAACAAGATATCAAGAAACGGAAGATCAAGAGGTAACACAAGAACGATACATGTTTTCTTTAGAATATCATTCGCTTGATAGTCATAACTGATCGTTTTTGCAGGCTCTGTGGTAGTGATTGTTGTCTCAGTTCTTAGCTCTGTGGTTGTCTTCATGATTGGAATAGCAGTAAGTGTTTATATCTGCAAACGTCGGACCATCAAGAGGAAGAGAAGAGGTCAGCTTAGTTTCTTGATTTCTGATGAATTGGTTAAAGAAAGAATTGAGTGTTTTTTACCGAGATTTTTGGTGGTTTTCAGGATCAAATGATGTTGAAAAAATGGCGAAAACTCTAAAAGACAGTAGCTTGAACTTCAAATACTCAACACTGGAGAAAGCCACAGGTTCATTTGACGAGGCAAACAAGCTTGGACAAGGCGGATTTGGAACTGTCTATAAGGTATGTGTGTATAATCATGGCTTTCCCTTTCTGTCTTCTTGTAGAGCAAATGAGTGATCTAGTGGCATCTCTGTGGGTTATTTAGGGTGTTCTTCCAGACGGACGAGATATCGCTGTGAAGCGGTTATTCTTCAACAACAGACATAGGGCAACAGATTTCTACAATGAAGTCAACATGATCAGCACTGTTGAACACAAGAACCTTGTCAGGCTACTTGGTTGCAGCTGCTCAGGACCAGAGAGCCTCCTTGTCTATGAATACCTTCAGAACAAGAGTCTTGATCGATTCATCTTCGGTAACTACTACTAATAATAATACTATTTGATGAGTTTCATTTGTCTAATCCTGAATGCAGAATCATCACACCAAATCATTCTTCATTATTACTTTTTCAGATGTGAACAGAGGGAAAACACTAGACTGGCAGAGAAGATACACGATCATCATTGGGACCGCTGAAGGATTGGTGTATCTGCACGAGCAGTCTACTGTGAAAATTATTCACAGAGACATAAAAGCAAGCAATATTCTTCTAGATTCAAAGCTTCAAGCTAAAATCGCCGACTTTGGACTGGCGAGATCATTCCAGGACGATAAGAGCCATATCAGCACCGCCATTGCAGGGACCTTGTAAGTGCACCATTGCTTCAAAAGATATGAATATATGATTTTATTACTTTAAGAAACTAAAATTGTGTCAAAACTTGTGAAACTGCAGAGGTTATATGGCTCCAGAGTACTTAGCACATGGTCAGCTAACAGAGATGGTAGATGTCTACAGCTTTGGAGTTCTTGTACTAGAGATTGTAACTGGAAAACAGAACACCAAAAGCAAAATGTCAGATTACTCAGACAGTTTGATGACAGAAGTAAGTTATCTGATTTTTTCTTATGTGACTAGAAATAGTCAGAGAGATTTCACTTCTCATACTAATTGTGGTGTTATGTTTTTTGCTAAAAAAATAGGCATGGAAGCATTTTCAGACAGGAGATTTAGAGGAAGTATATGATCCAAACCTGAACTGGAAGAATCAGAATGATAGTATCATCATCAAAAAGGAGATAGCGAGAGTAGTTCAAATAGGGCTCTTATGCACTCAAGAGATACCGTCGCTAAGACCATCGATGTCAAAGTTGTTGCATATGCTAAAGAACAAAGAGGAAATCCTGCCATTGCCAAGTAATCCTCCGTTTATGGATGAAAGAGTAATGGAACTTCGAGATGGTTCTTATGGCGATTCAGCTGGTTGTGCATCTCTTGCCACTGTCTCACAAAGTTCCTTTTACGGTAGATGAGCCTTGAAGAATTGTATAAGAAGAACAAATACACCACAGTTGAGCACAAAGTAAAATTTTTGTGAGAGAAGCTAGTTAGTATAGTAATATAGTTGTGAAATTAAGTAATTTGAATATCTCGATGGCGATAGTAAGTTAATTTATGTACTAATAAACATGAAATTACAAAAAAAGAACTACTCAATGACATCTGCTGATCATTACTCAATTGAGAAGCCCTGTTAAAATAAAGATTTAAGGATAATCGAGAGTTAACATTCGACACTAGTGGCCTAATGGGCCTCACACGGTCAAAAAGAAGAGGCTAACTAAAGCCCATCAGATTTCAGAGGGCATGTTCGGCCGAAATAACAAATGGTTCTTATATTAAGCAACCATAGGACTAACAAGAACTACAACTTTTAATTGCAATGGTGAAAAATAAATTATTAGTTGACACATGGTTCTATCTAAGTAAGGTTTAATACAATTAAGGAAGATATCATTTTGGACCATTTGGAAGATTAGTGACATTATATTATTGTCGTTACTCCCTCGTCGGTTTTGGCTAACGAGTTTGCGACGACGTCCCATGTACCAAAGCTTTTTTACTCCTTTTCTTTTCTCGGGAAAACTATGTAAAATTATACAATGCACAATCTCATCTCTCTCTTTTCATTCCTCGGTTAAGAATGTTTCATTAGAATCATCCATCATATCGAACGGCATGTTCTCCGAAGGCTTCCAATGGCGTTTCCTTTGGTTTATAAACCAATTGTTGATTTGCTTTTGATTCAATCCTGTTTCTCCAGCCAGAGCTATTTTGTCACCTTCCTGTACACATTTGAGATGCAGATATTATCACACCAATTGTTAGCCTAGGATTAACATGTCGAAACAAATTAATATCCGTATCCATGAGCGTATGTTAGCTTACGGTGGAATCAGAAAGACACTACTTACAGTGGGGTAAGGCCATTTATAATGAACATTCCACCAATCGAACAACGCTTGTCTTGCTTCTCTTGGTAACTTCCCTTTCTTCTTCTTCTTAGAGAACTCGAGCTTCAATGAACTGATATGGCTACCGAATTTACGTAGTAGCTGGTCCTTCAGATCCCGGTCATTGCTTCGTTGTTGGCTGTCCTGCGCTGTTACGTGATCATCTTCTCTCAGTTCCTCGTCAGATGAAAGCGCGCCATCATCTGCTCATACATGAGAATAATGTCATATGAGCCTAATACGTGTAACATCAAATACAAAATGAACTTGGAGAATGTATGGTAGGTATATTTGACAATGTAGAAAGCAAATTATGCCACTAAGCAAACACTATCAAACATAGCATTTTTTTTTGGGGGCAAAATCAAACATAGCTAACATTAAAATACTTGTAGGCTTAGCTAACACTAAGATATTTTTAGGCTCGGCTAAGTGGCTAAGTGGCTAAAACAGCTAAAACAAGGGAACAAGGATTCAGGGGTGAAAGGGGAAAAGCAAGGATAGCAAGATAATATCGAGGTTTCACACGACCCGGGCTCAAAAGTGATCAGTCAAAAACTGTCGCAGTGACTAAATAGTTTAGCTTACCATTGGCCACCTGAGTCATGACTCATGACACGTATTACCTTTCTGACACTTTTGAGTCCCCCCGAAAAAAACGCTTCCCCAACATTTATGATCTTTTTCATAATGCCCCATTTATGACCATACCATACTGACCACTATTAGGGGGGTTTTAACTTAACTAATGATCAAATTATTTGCATTAGAATTTTCCAACAAGTAATCACCACCTAGTGAATAGAGAAAGACATTGTTTCAATATCTCCCTGAAGATATTAGGTTCTAGTTTTGCTATACATATAAAGGTTTATCTTAAATGCATAGAAACATGAGCTGATATATCCCTAGAAAAACTATACAAAGATAGTTCACACCCTATCCATAAAACATTTGCTAGTTGAGGAAGGCATGTGCAATAGTAATACGGTTTGTTCTTTACCTATTAGCCGAATTTGGTTCGATCTGCAATGCAAAAGAGACAACATGCACTGAAAAAAAAAAAAAGTAAATAGGCTTGCTTCTTCATCTCCCAAAAAAAGTTAGCCACGTGGAAATTAGCATGGCCCAACAAGGGAACAAATGAGCAGAGGAAATGACAACCACTAGGCAACAACAGTTGAAAAAGATGGGGAGAGAGTGGAGAAGCATTAGTCATAAGATGATTGCGTTGTACAGAAATCAAACCCCATGTCTCAATCTCTCCGCTATTTTTACCTTTTTCTTTATAATCAAATCAAATCAACAAAAGCTTAAAAGAAAGAGTTGTGATTGGGTCACAAAGGGATCCACCAGCGGATTCCACGGGAGTCCATGTGACACTCGACCACCCCATATACTCCCCCTATAAAAAAGACTACAAGATTTCTAATTTTTGTGGCAACGGGATATTTTATCTACCAAGGTGATATAACCAAACAGATTATTATTTATTAGTAGTTACGTAACTAATGCACATTTTAATTACCATTATGACCATCCTACTATGTGCAAAACAATGCACAAGACTCTCTCAAATGACCATCATGTCTAGAACTGGTGAAGCAACTAATGCGCCATGACATAGAACTTTGTTCAGAACAACAAGCTTTCGGATTCCACCGGTTTGAGTTTCCTAGGAATAGTGAATATACATGCATGAATAAAATATAACACAGCCAAATTAAGGATATAGGGTGATTACATTTTACAACACAAAACCGTAGTGAATTATCTTAAACAATGAGACCTAAGCACCACATACGGATGCAGCATTGCACATGGAACTCATTGTAATCAATACACCATCCTAACACCAAATGATTACAAGATAAGAAGAGGATGGAACAACAACCATCGCCAATATTGACCATGCCCACAAACAGAAGCTTATACAAACATATAAAATGTCATAAAACATCATATGGTAAATGAGCTAATCAGGAAAAAAAATAAGTAAATACATTATACAATAGTTATGACAAACATCAGTTGACTAAAGAGGATTTGGTTTAAATTCCTAAAGCATATTAGCACGAAAAGAAACCAAAAGCACGTGACTCTGATGAAAACTACATATTAGGAGTTATACTATTAGTTTTAAGATGAAATCAGTTGTAAAGAAAACTCCTTTCTCGGGACTTAAGAAACAGAAAAAAGATATTGCCACATTGGCCAAGGAAAAGATGTTCAGAACTCAAGAAGGTAATTAAAATATATTCAATCAAAATGAACATACATGAGATTACCCAAAAAAAGCAAGTTGTACTTCCAACCATTAACAAACTAAACATTCGTCCACTAAAGAAAATTTCAAGCTCCAAGTGATCTGTTTTTCAACCTTTTGGACATGATTCCCTTTGTAAACTCCGATTAATTAAGTACGCCGATAAGTATTAACAACTTTTCGGAATTAAAAATGGTAACAAAGTACAACCGAAGCTGCATTTGATAACATACAAAAAAAGGCACAATAACAAGAAGACTATTAAAGCTGAATTCCACAATTTTTTAGTTCCATTTCTTTCCAGCTAGTTCTTATCAGGTGGAGATGAAGAAAGAAATGATTAATTTTAAAATCCCTAAGACAGTGAAATACTTTACCTAGACAAATATACACTAGCATTCTGACAACATTAACGTGGCTGGTATATTAATAACAAAAACTAATTTTGCCATGTTTGAAAGGTTTAACCAATACAGTATAATCTACAAAAACAACACAAGGCAACTAAAACATTCTCTTAAGAATTTCCATATTTGGGCTGCGAGTAAATAATACACTTACAAAGTTCTATTCTTCTTAATTAAGAAAACAAGTGGCGACAAAGATTAATACCTCAGCGTATTAGTAAACATAACTTACAGTGTCTTAATTTCAATCATTTATTTATTCACGTAACATTCCAACAAGATTACAAGACAGACAGACACATTAACCACGACATGCAGAATATGCAAGCCACTTGGCCATCAAGCATATTTTATGGCCAGTTTATAACACCTCCATGCGCATGAGCTCAAATGAGTGGAACTGAAATCTAATAGAGATTTGTTTTAGCTTTTTCTAGCTAAAGAAACACAAAATCCAACTATTTGACATGATCAAGACACTTATTTGGTTTACTAAGTCCGCTGGATTGGTAAAAAATAAGCACACCAGTGATTTTGTACATGTGATATGAACACACCGGACTTCATATGTAAGAAGGACTAATGTCATAAACTTTCACATATACTAATAAACTATTCAAATTTATGTTATACTGATCATTATACACAATCAATTTTCTTCACTCTCTAATAGTACAAACTTAACTGATAGGGATAAAACTAAAGTCTGACACTTACTATGAAAAAGTAGCATAAACTTTGGTTCATCCACCAAGAGAAGTTGAAGCAATCAAGAGCTAATAAAGTTTTGTTTTACCCATCAGTCTTAATGAAGATAAAAACAAGCAATACTCAGATGATCTAAACATGAAGCCAAGCAACAAACTCAAGAAAAATCAGTGGCATTTATTAGTGGAAGTTATGACTAGGTTTTTCTCTATGATTGAATTTTCACTGGAAAGAAGCAATTAAAAAACTTTCAGTACGACACTGAAACGTCAAAATCAGAATCTCTAGCGCAAAAGTTTTTGCTTTCATAGACCCCATTTTTTCTTCTGACAGAGGAGAAGATATCAAGATAATAAATAATACAAGTATATTATATTATAAAAGTAACAAAAGAAAAGTATATCACATCAAAAGATCACTAGGAAAATAAATATCACTAGTAGAGAAAATCCTACCCACTGCTTGCCCCTATCACCACTAAGGCCCGCAGCTTAAACCATAACTAATGATAGAAAATAATGTCATAAAATTAAGATGTGTGAAGGTTATATAGATCCATCTAAAGCATGAATGACTTTCTATTTTCTAAGGTTCTACCAAAAATATGAAAAATGTGGCTGAATCAATCATTGTTTTCTCCCAAACTAGGGTTTTAGAGTTTCCTTGGTTTTTCTCTGACTTTTATTAACTTTGGTTGTCTAACCGGATCTACTAAAGCTCCTCCTAGTTTCAGCTACACTTAATTATCGTTTCTTGTTTATTTAAAAAAAGGAAAATATTAAAGGAAAAGCAAAATCAGAAGATTTCCATCAGTTCCAAGAACCTGATCATTGAAGCACAGAAAGGAAAAGTTCTGAGGAGAGATTTTGAAATCCGCTCGATTTGTAAGGACAAATGTGAGCAGGAATTTTCAAGGACACACAAATCGAGGATAGTGCTCAAAGAACAATAAAACACTACGAAACAAGAAATCAAGAGTACATTCGAACTAGAGTGAGATATCATTTTAGTTCTGACCTGAAAGAGCTGTAGCAGACGCTGGACCAGTGCACAGGTTCTGAAGCTGCATTTCGATCTTGTTTATGAAAGTTGCAGCCTCGTCGAACGGCCTCGCAAGATCGGTTTTGTATTTAACCAAAATATCACAGTAGGTTTCCTAGAATCACACCACACAAAAAAAAAAAAATATTTCTAAAAACAACAAGAGGACTGAAAGGTTGAGAAAAAAGGACTAGTGTGAAACCATGAATTCGTCAAGCTCGGGATCATCTCCAAAGCAAGATAATGGAGCAACATCTCTCTTGTACACATGGTTCTCTTGCTGAATCTCTTCCAATATACACGCTATCTCCATAGGTGCTCCCACCTTGTTAATCAATAACCACAAAAAGAAACATCCTCACGCATCAGCTTCTCTTACATTTCGAAATAGTCTCTCTAGCTCCCAATCTTATCTTAGGGTTAAAGTGGAACAGAAAAAAAAAAAAAAAAAACACGAGAGGCATATCAAGAACACACAGTCGATTAGTGAAATTACCTTTTGGCAATCGATGTAGGTTTGGAGCAAGCGAGGATACAAAGGATGACAAGCGATTTTGGATTTGATGACACTAAGAGAGAAATTATCATCAGCTTTTCGAATACGTGGAGGCGCTTCTGACGATAAAGCCGTAGCGAGTTCGTCGGATCCAAACACGCGATTGTCTCCGGTGGATGAACAAATCAGCGATTGATAATCGGACGGCAGCATCAGCGTTGCTTGCTCCGAATACTCTTCTGTCGAACGAAAACCACACATTCTATCCATTAATATGATCGTTGTGAGATACGATCAGTGCTCGCCGACGCTTCGATCCACAGTCTTGTCTTGCTTCTAAAGAAGGTCAAGAAACACAAAAATAACAAGTTAAAAGAAAAGATGAAACCGTAAACTTTTCCAAACTTCTCCAATGAGAGAGACAATGGAAATAGACTGGCCAAGTTGAGTTCGGTCTCGGAGTGTAGTTTGAGGGCAATGATCGTAAATATTTCGGCCAAAAAACAAAATAAAAAACGTTTTGCGTATAGGAATTTCCATAATTTTATGGTAATTAAAGACACACTAGTTTTTTTTTTTTTTTGTCGTCACACTAGTATTAATTTCATATGCTCCCCAGTTATATGATATATTCCATCTAATTTATTGTTATTTGCATAGAAGAGGACGAGACAAAATTATGATATACTATAAATTATTTACTTTTAATAGATTATACATTTCAAGAGGGGTGTAAAAGAAGAAAGATTTCAAGGGCTTGCCATATGTGTTAAGGAATACGATTCGGGTGATTATAAAAAGATTTCTGCGTGATTCAATAGTACTTTTTTGGACTGTACGATTACATGGTTACGATTATTTTTGATATATATAACTTAGTGCCCAAATGACCAAAATATGCTTTGGCTAATCAAGTCGAGTTAGAAAAGACAACTATGCTTTGTTAACAAAAAAAACATGAAGTAATTTGAATTTTGACCCCAAAAACAAATGATGGTAATTTGGTGTATTAATTAGGTCACTCTTTTTTCGTGGTCAAAATCTAGATTACCATCATTTAAGGTTCGAATGGAAGAGTTTGCACGGCCGTAAATGACTAATTAATAAGCATTTCTGTTCCAATTACGGTGGCCGACACTAACGGATTCTAGTTGTCTAACCGGATCGGTTCAACTTCAATTTCACTCCTTTCAATTTTCAATTTTCACCTAGTTTTTGTTCCGCTGTATACACACGTCTACGGTAGCTAGGTGCTCATTATCAATCACAACCATCAAGATCTTAGTGAGCAATTGTTTTTTTAGTGGCTTTCAGTCATGTGCTAATTAAAATCCCTTTGGAACTAAATTTTTTAGTGGCCACTCCACTAATCGCACTTCTTGTTATATTCATAGAGAATCTTTTAGTCGCGTAAAATGAAAATGTACCATTACCTTATATAGTAATATTAGAACCTACAGTTTTTTATAAAACAAAAAATCCATCTATTAATAAACCTTGTTGTAAAAAAAAATTCTTTATTTTTGCATGGGTCTACTCCAGAACCCGATCTGATGATCCATATTGTTTTTTTCTGCAATTTTTTTTTTTAAATGTCACAAAGGTCTTTTTGATGATGGACAGGTTGATTGACACATCCGTCGGACTACTTTGGTGTAGAAATTTAACTGACATAAAGCTTTGGTTTCGTATCAAACCTTATATAAACGACAGAACTTTGCTTCTCTCATTTCACTTCGTTGGATCGTATCGGATTGAATCTTCACCGTTGGCCTTCACAGCACATATTTTATATTGTTTCTAATTTTTCCATATGATCATTATCGTCGAGAAATGATTACAAAAAAAATTATGTGTAGTGATGGGCATAAACGTTCTGGATTTGATAAAGAAAGTTTTGGTCCGAACCTCTCATTATTAGTCCATGTCTTGCAGAAAAAATAATAATAACAAAAAGTAACGACTAAATTATTAGATCAAATTTGCATACAATTATGGTGCTAATATATTTTTTTTTATTTGCATACAATTATGGTGCTAATATATTATTGTACGTCCACACAAGTGTTTTCTTCATGGATTTTTAGTAGTACTGTTCCTGTGATTCAGTGTTGTTAGGTTTCAATTATTTGTATTGGATTTCATAATATTGAGGTTTTTGTTAATTAATTTATTTAATATTCGGTTGCTTCAACTCTATCCTTTTGTCTTAATAGTGTTGTATGATTGTATCTCATATCAATGTGTTTTTGTACAAATTTGTGTATGTTGTCTTAGAAATGTTGCTGAAAATTAGATATTTCTACTTGTTACTATTTGTTTTTGGGAAATTCCCAGTCTTACTCTTTTGTTTTTTGATAAACCGTATGATTTCTAAACCTTTAATCTATTACTCCATCCGTTTCATATATAAAGCGTTTTGAATAAAGTTTTTTTGTTTTACAAGACAAGTCGTTTTCGAGATTCAATGCAAATTATATATTACTTTAATATTTTATGATTATTTATATTATGCAGTTTCTTTTTTTATTGGTTGAACTTTTAAAAAATATATCTTCTTAATCGGTATGTTTTTACCTAAAATGATTTATATTATGAAAAAGAGGGAATACTATTTAAAGAATGTCTCTCTTGTCCAAAAGGGGATTTGAACCCATGACCCAAAGGAACCACCACCCACCCCTTTGGTCAAAGTAGATTTTTTTTTTTAATTTTGAATGAAATATCCATCTGTTATTAATTATCTCTTCCTTTATGCTATTACATTTATATGTTATCGTAATAACCTTAATATGTTTTATCAAATGTTTTTTGTATGCAAGTATAACCTTATTAATTATCTCTTCCTTTATGCTATTACAATTTAAATATTATCTTTTGGTCATCTATACAAATATTTATCTATTCAACATATATATTTGCACAGAAATCTAGGGCCTCTTCTTCATAATGCTTGTACCCAATTCAAATTTGAGCATTACTAAAAGTCTAAAACACTGAGAGATTCATTTGTATAGTTAACCAAAATATATAAATTGACCAAAACATATCAACGTACCTGGAAGGAAAAATGGACAAATTAAATCTCCACCAATAGCTTTATTTGTTAAGCAAACAACCGATCACAGTCACAGAACCACTTGATCTTTTGTTTCTTCAGCAGTCGTTGCACCAAAACCTTATATATACACCAAATTTTCAAAGTGGCGGGGGAATTAATAGAAATGAAAGTCTTTATAGACCAAAAAGGTAAATTATGGATTATTTTAACTTCTATCTTGAGGAATAAATCTTTTGAAATACAACCTGAAACAGTGTTGGGACAGCAACTACGAGCATCTACTAAAACATATGGTCTAATATTCTTTTTTTTTTATATATATATAAAGATTCTAATATCTTTTTCTTACGTTAAAAATTGCTATTGACGAAAAAAACCCAGCTTATTATAAATTACTGTTCAGCTCATTTGATTTTATTCCCATGATTTGGGATTGTCGTGGACATGCATTGAAAAAATAAACAATATCAAGCATCCTGATGCAAAGTGTTTTTTGTTTCTATTTTCAAATGTTTCTTATGAAGTGGTCCTTTGCGTTTTGTCTGTGGTCCTTCAAATAGAAAATTTGTCTTTCTTTCGTTGAAGTTTTTGCTTCGAAGAGAAACTGCTATTCTTACTACATAATAGACAAAATTTAGACATTGCGGAAATCAATCAAAATTGTCACGTTTAATAATTTTTAGTATAATATACTTTCTAGCTTATATATTTCTGTTTTACACTATCAAATATTCAAATGTTGGTTTATATAAAAACGGATTGAGAATTACATATTTACATGTACAAAAAAAAAATCTAATAACTTTAAATAAAAAATTTGGTAGTGTCAACGATAAGGGCAAGGGAATTGAGCTCCAGCTGTGCGGGTGAGATCAAAACTCAAAAAGATACATTTATGGAAAGTTAGTTCTATACTTAATTAACTCATGGTTAGAGATTACAAACGATAATCTTTCATTAACGTGGCACCATTTGATTTAATCGTCGAGTTTGACTATATTTATACACCTATAACAATTATTTCTATAATCATAAGCCTAAACCTTTTGGTTATGCGTATGGCGCATTTGACGACGGAAACCTAACTCTTATTATTCCAAAAGTGCAATTAGTAGCTGACTTTTTTTCATTAGCTCACAAATCACAACCACCACGTTAAAAAGCTAACACACCTTATTTTGGTAATAACATGATTACACGTGTCACATATACGTAAATCTAGTATGGTGGTATAGTTTAGTCCATGCATTAAACTAAATTGTTGTTATATTTCAAGATAATGTGAACGGGGGTAGCTAGGAATAAGGATTGGTCCAACTTACTCATTGGTATATATACAAATAAGGTTGTTAACATATTTGTTTTAATTTTATTTGACATTATATCTATATAGCTATATTTTAATTATATTATAACTAGATTTTATGTACTTTTGGCATTGGCAGAAATCAATCGTCAATTCCATTTTGAAGCACTGATAAAGCTTAAGTAGATTGTGCGAAGGATTAGTCATTTAGGCCCACGTCGACCGTCTTAAAATCACTTACGAATATTATTATCATAATCACTTTTATCCCCATTATGTATCATCTAAATAGTGCGAAGAGATTTTGTTTTATTCAAATCCACTATATTAATTCTCCTTCGATATACAGTATAAAAAACTGGATATTGCAAGCTAATTAAAATTTAGATGTGCACGAAGACTCGGTTCAACGACATGAGTGATAATGGGCTCATCTCGGCCCATAATCTCACATTCTCACTCTTTTATTACCATTGTCTTCCTTTTTTTTTTTTTTTTTTTTTCAACGACTATAATTGATTAGCTTAGATAATTTTAGGAAATGTTATTTACAAAAATGATATAACGTGGTTCGGTACTATTAAAAGTATCATTGTCTTCCTATTAAAGCAGAGAAAAATATTCTCCTTCTACATTTTTGAATAAAAATATAAAGTTTTGTTTTTATAGGAATAAAATGTGTTAAGAAGAAAAGAAAATTCGATTTCAGTTTTTTTTTTTTTTTTTTTTTATCGGCTGATCCGGTCAGGCTCGGTAGGAACGCACCGAAGTGCTACATAGTGTACTTCTCCCGCGGTTCAACGGTTCAACGATTCAACGGACACCATGAGCTCCGAGCGGACTCGGGTCGAACGTACCATGAGATCCATGAGATCCAGAATTGGGTCACCAAACTGCCTGATCCGAGTTTGGAGTGCCTTCCGACTAATGTCAGGGGGTAGTCAGGCCGCCTGCATTTCTGGCTACCAAATAAACCAATTGGGCCAAGACCCAACTGATAGACTTCCCAAACAAATGTGTTTTTGTTTCCAGGGACAATCGAACTCAGGTTTAAGAGTTTCACTTTTTCCCAAAACTTCTTCTCCCACTAGACCACATATGTTTGGGCGATTTCAGATATTCGCGTGAAAATGATGCTTCTTTTGAATTTCCAAAATAAAAAGTCCAGAAGACAAGATATAAAATATGATTAATTGGGTTAGAAACAAAAACACATGATATGTTTAATTTGTTATCAGGAAAAATATTATTCATTATCGAATGAAAATTGGATACGGTCCAATATAAATAAAAGAATCTTGACCGGGACCGGTCTTTGTTGCTTTTACTTTTGTTTGCGACTCAATAACACCCCAATTCAGGATTCGATTAACATGATCGTTATACAATAAGAATAAATGATCTAACAGTATCTGCACAATAAGATTAGCTAATGAAATTTTATCATAGTTGGACGATGCTTAATTTAATACTCTACAAAACCAAATTTCACACGATGCAACAAAAGTAATCATTCAAAAGAACAGTTTTATTTGTTTTGGCCCCCTCCAAAAGAATGGTGACTAGCTAGCTAAGTTATATGTTCCTTCAAAAGGAAATTTACATAGAAAAAAAATTGATACAGAAGGCAGGAGAGAACCTATACCTGTACTTGTACATGAGAGTATGAGAATCTGTAACTTCTTCTATGAACTTTGCTCAAGACTCATATGAGACTATTAAACAATCGAATATAAAAAAAAAAAAAAAAAAAAAAAAAAAAAAAAAAAAAAAAAAAAAAAAACAATCGAATATATATGATACTTTTTTAGTATGGTCCTTCTGAGTAACATCTTGAGAGCCACAAGTGCTTCAACTTCACGATCAAAGCAAAGATTCCAAAGCATGGTATGTGCATCAATCCAACAGCCGCATACCTGCAACATCAGTTAAAACATTACTATGTGTAGTCTAAATCCATTCAAGATCAATATTCATTTGAGTTTCATCTCTAGATTCTAGTGGCACAAGTTTTCATAACCGATATAATAGGCCATGAGTTTGTGCTGAGTAGTACCATAAAGGGGCGTAGGGTGATGACAAATCCAAGAATGGGTAAGGCCACCTGCACAAGCAGATATCACACTGTTATACACATACCTTAATATCCCAAGCAAGTAAACAAATCTGTTCGCATAGGATAATGTAAATTAAAGAAAGATAGATCCATCCATGACTATTACCAGAAGGAGACACAAGCATGAACAATCCATTGGAATAGCACGAATATGCCGGTCCATACCACAAAGTATGAAACCCTGAACAATGGGAATCGCTGGAGACATGAATATCATCATCATTACCGATTCATCATCATGTTTTTGTGTTGACTAAACATAAAAACTAACCAGAGAATTCAAGAAAGTTTCACCGAGGAGGAAAACAGCATTGACTGAGTGCATAATGACAATGAACTGCAGTATATAAATGTTTGGTTAAATTTTAGCCTCAATGAAAATCAAAGACAAAGTGTCTACTGTTGTGGTTAAAACTTACAAAGTCGAGATTGAAATCTTTGGCTGTAAGAAAAGGGTAGATAATGAACCAAAACACACCATCTGTAAGTAATACAGCTCCTGCACAAGTCTGCAATCCAAAAACATGTTCAGACTTCAGAAACAGAGAACTTGACATGTTTTGACACTCAAAACCACAACAAGACTTACTTGAAAAAGAATCTGATGAATGTAACCCAATGTAGTTGCAACCTGACGTGTAGACCTGTTTTCTCTATCGTGTCCGTATGAAGATTTAAACACATTCGAGTTTTCACCATTCACGGGAGGTCTATACGAACCTTGCTCTTCATCTACTATACTGATTCTGTTTTCACCATTATCAGCAGACTTAAATCTGTATATGGACGCCAATGCTGCAAGCTGCAATACATCAAGCCGACTTTAGGTTTCGGAAAACCTATTTTAACAACTACTAACCTCAGGTAGATGTTAGGATCTAGAGACATAGATTGGATAAAGCATGTGTAGTACCATGATAAGGTGAAGAAAAGCCATACCCCAAAGTAAATTGTGACCAATGTGAAAGTCCATCTGACATAAGAATCAATCAAAACTCATCAGAATAAAGTGAAATGTTAAAAAAAACTATATGTAATCAACAAATGGAGACTCACTGTGTGTAGAAGATGAAAATGCCGGTTCCATCAGCAATAGCATTACCAGAGATAAGTCCAAGAAGAACAACAAAACCGAAAACACGAAAACCTAACAACCAATTCGGATGAATCTCTTTGACACAAGTATTCCAAGTTTCATCATCATATACAACTCCTGTGAGTTGTTCTAGTTCCAAGCTTTGATCATCATCACCGCGTTTTTTGCGTGTTCTTGGTCCTTCATATCTCCAAATCACATAAGAAGATAGAAACAGAGACGTTAAGACAAAGATTGCACAGACAAAGAATCTCCAGTTTAGCCAGTAACTTGGAATGTTTGTCTCCGAAGTCATTGTTGGTTGCCAAGTATGTTCAGTTGAACCTGTAACAAAACTCGACAAATCAATTCGGCTAAACACATTCTTCACCATTCTCAAAATCTCTGTAACTTTGTGAAACCAAGTGATCTTGATTTTAAGTTTTTAACAAATAGAGTCTAATAAATTCACGTCAAGAAAAGAAAAAGCAGAGGCGAGAAACTCATGATGAGACATCACGGATCTTGATTTCGTTTTTTTGGTTAGCATTAACAATGGACAACGAGAGGGAGAGCGAGAGAGACAAAACTTGAAACATACAAAGAGATATAGCATTCAAAGCAAGAGACAAGATTCTTTACTTAACCACGGAGAGACAAAGTAAAATCAAGAAAAGAAAAAAAAAGATTAGACAAGACAGAAAAAAAAAGATACCTGTAGTGATGCTTTGCTTCACTTCGGTATCAGATTCTGTGAGCAAGAACAATGAGATTTTAAGATTTGGAAAAAGGAAAATTATGAATTTGGAATCTGATGTTTTTATATTTCTTTAGTTGTAGAAGTTTGTAGGGGATTTGGATTTGTTTTTAATTCTTACACGTTTATGTATTTTATTCGCCAATACGTGCAATTAATTAGAGCCATTTGATTCTCAAGTAATAACATCGAACGGTTAAAAGGAAACGGTCGAGAAAGTGGAGGACAGAGGTAGAAGATACTACTCGTAGTAGGCTTCATCATTCTTTATTGGGCTTTAGGCCCATTATGTTTACAGATTTTTCACGCTTTTTCACGTTATCTGGAAGCCGCGGAACCTTATGGATGATAGATAATAATGTCACGACTCAAATCGTGGAGATTTGGATGATGGATGAAAGTAGAGATGGTGGCTGGGCCAAGATTCATAAGATCGACCTCGGTGGAACCCGTTCAAACGAAAACGATGGTAGAGTGCATATGTTAGATATTCGGTCAGACCGAGTTTTGTTCAATCTATCGTCGACGTGGTCCACATGGCCATTGTTTTGCTATAACGCCAAGTCAAGCACCCTCTTAAAGTGCGGGAGAGTGTTTAGAGACTATCAGCTATGTCACTCCACCGATGGGTTCTTGTTTCTACACAACCTTGATACGTATTAATTCTTTTCCACATTTCTTTTTTCCTTTTGTGCCTTTCTAGGGTACACAATCCCCTATAAGATTAATTCAGCAAAAACGTTGAAATCTTTTCTTTTGGAAAAATCTGCTGTTTTTAAATTGTTTAGCTCGAGAAGTTTGTGGGAGATTTGGATTTGTGGTCTTGTAATATGATTTTCACTCTACACTTCTCACGTTTATGTATTTTTATTCGTCATAAACGGAGACGAGACATTGGAGCCATTTGATCCTCAAGAATCAAATCGAACGGTTAACAGTTAAAAAGGGTCGAGAAAGCGGAGGAAAACACAGGTAGAAGTTACCCGTTGCAGGCTTTAGACCATTTTCATTGGGAGTGTTTAGGTGAGACACTTTCCAATAAAACAGAATAAAAAATTTTAAAAAGGAAGAGAGATAACAGAAACGTTTCTCAAATGAGAAACTCTAAGACACCCATTTTTACAATTGTATTCTTCTGATTGGTTTAAATAAACAATTAAATAATAAATAACTAAATAATAAAAAAATAATATTATTTTATTTGTCAGACACTCAACAGAGTTTCTGACCGATGAAGATGCTTTTTATAATTCTTTAATGGGCTTTAATAATAAAAAAACTAATATTATTTTGTTTGTCAGACACTCAACAGAGTTTCTTACCAATGGAGATGCTCTTTTATAATTCTTTATTGGGCTTAAGGCCCTTTACGTTTACAATGAGATATGAAATCCTAATTCACTTGGAAGCAGCCGGAATCATCTATATCGTGAAGATTGCATATACACACGTAGAAGGAGAGAGAGAAGGGGAGCAAGGGCACACGCTTCAGGAGCAAAACCAAATCAAGATCTTATACAAATATGACTTCTGTTTCTCTGCCCAGTGACCTTGTTATGAACATCATGTCTCGAATTCCTGGCAAATCTCTAGCAAGATTCCGATTAGTCTCAAAGCAATTTAGATCTCTACTCTCTGGTCATTGTTTCCTCCGCCTCCACCACAACCGTTCACGTGATTCCCATTTTGCCACAGTCCTTTTCCACATGCCTTTACATTGTTCCCTTGGTCCGAGGGAGTTCCATCAACGAAGATATGATTTCTTTGTGTCCAACAACGCCAATTGCTTAGTCCACGACTTTACGGTTTGTGGCTTAATGAGAATCATCAGAATGTTAAGTTCTCACCACCAGCTGGTATGCTTTGTTTGCTTAGAGGGGATCCATCTTTGCAACCCCGTGAACAAGGAGTTAAAGAATTTACCTGACCCTCCTTCCTCTACAAGGTGTTTCAACGGATCTCAGAAGTGTCTCATCTCTTTTGGATTTGTTGAGGCCACGATGCAGTACAAAGTCGTCAAGTGGCCTCACGACTTGGATGAAAACTGTACGAGGTTGCCAAGTGGCCAAGTCAATCAAGTCAACTTTGAGGTCTTGGATATCGATATCGTAGAAGATGGCCGACTTAAAGTATCACCCTGGAGAAGTCTGCATAGACCATGTCCCTATCTTCTACAACTCTCTTCTCACGTTCAAGTCAATGGATTCATCTACTGGACCACTAGTGATTTTCAGATCGTATCTTTCTCTCTACAAGACGAGACTTTCTCAAGCGTAAACCCTACACCCCCTTGCTTCTGCCTTGACACCCAAGTATCCAAAAAATCTCGCTTTTTCAAGCTATTTGGAAGCCGCAGAAACTTGTGGATGACAGATACTGATGTTGCGTCTCAAATCATAGATATTTGGAAGATGGATGAAAGTAGAGACCGTGGCTGGACCAAGAATCATACGATCGACCTCAGTGGAACCAATTCAAACGAAAACGGTGGTAAAGTACTGCATATGTTAGATATTAGGTCAGACCAAGTTTTCAATCTATCATCGACGTGTCTATTATGCTATGACCTCGTGAAATACGGGAGTGTGTCCAGAGACTATCAGCCATGTCACTCCACTGATGGACTCTTATCTCTACACAACATTGATATGTCTAATTCTTTTCCAAGTTCCTCTCTTCCTTTTGAGTCTTTATTAGGTAAACGGCCCCGTTAGAGATGTATTGTATATCTTATGAAAGTTAAAAACATAAATCAAATTTTCATCAACCATCATACGTTGAACTTTACATGGACAATATATGTAACAGGCTGAATTCTTCAACTCAAGGTTGGTACAACAAATCGATGACCTAGTACTTTATATTTTTTGTTATGCGTGGACTAATCAAATGTTTGATTTTTCGTTTTCCCAAACTATGGCATGTCTAAATGTAACATCTTGAGCTTTCTGCGTCCTTTCTCAGATCTCATGGGACCAATATGTTGACCATGAAAATCTGTGTAGAGGTTTTGGAGTAAAGCAAAGAAGTGGAAGCCTTGTGCTTTAAGTTTAGATGTGTTTGTAGAGGTTTTCTTCATCTACTTTTAAGCCAAGCCAGTAAAATCCCCTTAATTACTCTGCTTATATATATTCAAACCATGTATCATCTCATTACAAATAAATCATCTGAATCTCATATCTTAAACTATACAATCAAATAATCTTTGCTTGGAGTTTTTTTTTTTCTTCTTAACCATAAAATGAATAAGCCCTTCATCGTTTCCCTGTTTGCTCTGTTAATGGTAGCTTCTTATGGAAAAACATTCTACAGAGAACTTGACATTCTTGAGAAGCTTGAGAACCTCGATGTACCTGAGGATGAGATTGAGGATGATGTGACGTTCTTTGATTTCTCGTCATTTACAAGCCAATATTCTGGTAAGAATCTGGTGAATGTGGATAGCTTTGGTGCAGCTGGAGATGGAGTTTCTGATGATACTCAGGTGCGTTATGCTCGAATCGATTTAATAAATTCATGATAATGATGGTGAAATAGACACACCAAGCTTCTATATAAAGATTTTATCAGCTGATGCAATGCTTTTCTTATAACCAGGCATTTATAAGCGCTTGGACCATGGCCTGCTCTGCACCAAACTCTGTGTTATTGGTTCCACAAGGACGTAGCTATTTAGTAAATGCAACGAAATTCGATGGTCCATGTCAAGAAAAATTGATCATTCAGGTCATCTTTTAACTTCTTAATTAATTCCTGTTTGGTTTCATTGTTAACAAAAATCATACATGTTAAGCTACAACAACATGTCTTATGCATTTTTTTTTTTTTTTTTGAAATCTGAATTTGATAGATTGATGGAACAATCGTAGCACCAGATGAGCCTAGCCAATGGGACCCGAAATTCCAAAGGGTTTGGCTTCAATTTTCCAAACTCCAAGGAGTTGTATTCCAAGGGAATGGAGTTATAGATGGTTCTGGTACCAAATGGTGGGCTGCTTCTTGCAAGAAGAACAAATCTAACGTAAAATCTTCTTTACATATATTGAAATTTCTTCTAATTATTCATAATGTAGAAATCTGACTCAAATTCTTTCTTGGTTTTCGCTTGTAGCCTTGCGTAGGCGCACCAACGGTCTGAATTCTTTCCCTTTTGTGTTCATCCACCGCTAGACTTATCATTTATGTTTGATTTTTGCTTATAACAAAGTTTTTCTTCATACAGGCTCTAACTATATATTCAAGTTCAAATGTGTATGTGAGAGACTTAACAATCCGGAACAGCCAACAAATGCATTTGATCATTGCTCGATCAAATACAGTTCGAATCTCTAGAGTTATGGTCACATCTCCAGGTGACAGTCCCAACACTGATGGAATTCATATCACCGCATCGACTGATGTTGTAGTCCAAGACAGTAAAATCAGCACAGGTTCTTATAATTTAACTCAAAATACTATTATGATATGATAATATATTAACACTCAAAATGTTATAGCTGAGACTAAAACTTGATAACAGGAGATGATTGTGTCTCAATTGTGAATGGAAGCGCGAAGATAAAGATGAAGAGAATCTACTGTGGACCAGGACATGGAATCAGGTAAACACTTGCATATATCAGTTTTTAAGTTCAAAATTATAATTCTTGGTTGGAATATAATCTCTTGTTATGCAGCATTGGAAGCCTTGGACAAGGACATTCGACAGGAACCGTCACTGCAGTTGTGTTGGACACTGCGTTCCTAAAGAACACAACTAATGGTCTAAGAATCAAGACATGGCAGGTAAAATCTCAATTCTTGATCCTTGCATTCCTTCCAAAGAGTTTGAGGATTGATTGAAAGATGAAAATATTTAAAACAGGGTGGTAATGGTTACGTAAAGGGTGTACGTTTCGAGAACGTAGTGATGCAGGACGTTGCAAATCCAATTATAATCGATCAATTCTACTGCGATTCGCCATCAACTTGTCAAAACCAGGTTTCTATCACATAACCATTGACTCATCAAGAAACCTCAAGAAAGAAAATTAATCGTTTGATTCCTATTTCTTGGCAGACATCGGCGGTTCACATAAGCGAGATAATGTACAGAAACATAACCGGAACTACGAAAAGCGCGAAAGCCATCAAATTCGCGTGTAGTGACGCAGTCCCTTGCAGCCACATTGTACTCAACAATGTCAATTTGGAAGGCAATGATGGAAAAGTGGAAGCATATTGTAACTCTGCTGAAGGGTTTGGTTATGGTGTGGTTCATCCTTCTGCGGATTGTCTGTATTCGCATGACGACAAGGGCTTAAACCAAACTCATGAGTATTTGGCAGAAACTGTTATGATCAGAGATGAAACTGGAGATGTTTACGACGAGCTTTAAGGGTGGTGATCGCATATTTTGACGGTCGTTGTAGTGAGGGATGCAGAAGTACGTTATATGTAGTTGTAATTCATCTTAGCAACTGACCTATTATATTAGCTTGTAAATGAAGCATATACAATGAGATTGAAAAGCATTGTAGTATTCATTATACTTATACAGTTAAAAAAATAGTACGTAAATATTATTGTTCTTTTTGTATTTTAAAGAATAGTTACTTTGTATGAAACATTCGTTCATCTATCTATGAAGTTATAACATAAGTTTTTTGTTATTTCTTTTTCTAGAACTTTACAAGGTGATCAGCGTTAAGGATTGGCAACGAAACCGTAACCAAATAAACAAAAGCAAACCCAAATGTTTAAACTAATACAGTACAAAACTAGATTTTTTTTATAAACTGATTTAGTTTTATTATCTTAAAATATAAAATTTATTCATTAAATTAAGATTTCAAGATTAGTTTTATCCATTCCTGTTTCGTTTTATTAGTAGGGTCAGCTGACACATATCAATTATGTAAATCATATTATATAAATAAAACTTAATTTTAATAGCTATAAAATTTGTAATTTTGAAGCTATAATTACATGACAATATCCTATTGGTCCGACGACATCAACAAATAACGAAATTTCCACACGAGATTAAGTAGTACTTAAGAAAAGAGTATTGCTCACGTGTCAAGTTTAAATTGGTTAGCTAGCATATTAACCTGCACTTGGTCATCGAAGATTCGAAGAGGGTATTTCCGTAAACTCAAAAATGGCAATTTCGTTAATTGGCGTGAAAAACGACGAATAAACCGGTACCCCTCTCCTTATAAAATTCTCTCCTCCACTTCCTTATTTCGTCGTCGTCGCGTTTCTCTTAAGCTTCTCTCTCTCTCTCTTTCAAATTTCGTCGAGTCTCTCTCGCTCTCTCCGTTTCTTCGCGGTCTCGCTCTCAGATCTCTCTCGGTTACTTTCTTCGTAGGTACGCTTTGATCTAAGATCTGTGCTCATAGATTCTCAATTTCGCTTAGATCTGTAATGTCTCCATTGTGTTCTGCATTTCTCGTTTCTTGTGAATTTTGATGGTTTTGGAATCGTCGTGATTGATTTCGTTGAAGTTGATCTTGCTCATGAATGGATAATGTGCTTTGATTTTAAGATATGTAGACGATTCTGATTACGATCTGTTAGTGTGGATCTGTTTGATTTCTATTCGCTTCCGTTTTTCCTCGCTGTAATTGTATCTGATAGCTTCTGAGATGTGGAAGATCTGATCAGAGAGATCAGGGACGTCTGAATCTCTGTTTCGATCTGCTTGATCTCGTTGAGTTTATGTTCGTGAGTGACAATTTTGGTATTGATCTGGTTCTTAGAGGATATAAGGATTGAATTTGGCATTATAGATGCATAATTTAGGATTTTGTGAGATCGAAATCGCGTGATATAGAATGTTGATGATGATTTTGATATTCGTTGTGTTTGTGCAGTGAAGCAAAAATGGGGTTGAGTTTCGCCAAGCTGTTTAGCCGGCTTTTTGCCAAGAAGGAGATGCGAATTCTGATGGTTGGTCTTGATGCTGCTGGTAAGACAACTATTTTGTACAAGCTCAAGCTCGGAGAGATTGTCACCACCATCCCTACTATTGGTAAAACTTCACACTATAATACTGGTGTTTGACTGTGATGATGAGTATAAAACTCAAGGAATGATTGGTGTTATACTAAAAACTATGAACAGGTTTCAATGTGGAAACTGTGGAATACAAGAACATCAGTTTCACCGTGTGGGATGTCGGGGGTCAGGACAAGGTATGGAGTCTCTATGCTGCTTATTGTTGATGAATGAACTTTAAATAATATAAACTGACTCTTTGGGTTCTTTTTCAGATCCGTCCCTTGTGGAGACACTACTTCCAGAACACTCAGGGTCTTATCTTTGTCGTGGATAGCAACGACAGAGACAGAGTTGTTGAGGCTAGGGATGAACTCCACAGGATGCTGAATGAGGTCCATATCCAGTGCTATGGAAAGAGTGATTCTTCTTCATACTTTTGTTAATTTGAATATCCTTTTACTTGCTAACTCTTTTCTTGCAGGACGAGCTGCGTGATGCTGTGTTGCTTGTGTTTGCCAACAAGCAAGATCTTCCAAATGCGATGAACGCTGCTGAAATCACAGATAAGCTTGGCCTTCACTCCCTCCGTCAGCGTCATTGGTTAATAAACATCCCAATAAGTTTCAAAAGTCAAAAACCTTTCATCTGTTCGATATTGATGTGTGTTTTTGCATGCTACAGGTACATCCAGAGCACATGTGCCACATCAGGTGAAGGGCTTTATGAAGGTCTGGACTGGCTCTCCAACAACATCGCCGGCAAGGTAACATAAGTTGTCCAAAACACAATCTAACGAGTTGGTTTATTTTTATTCTGCGATGCTTATATATTTTCCTCATGTTGTTCCTCTCTTGCATAGGCATGATGAGGGAGAAATGGCGTTGCATCGAGATGATTCTGTCTACTGTGTTGGGATTTCTCTGTTTGGATGCAAGAGAGATTATAAATATTATCTGAACCTTTTTGCTATTGGGTATGTGAATGTTTCTGATTGATTGTGCAAGTAGATTTCTTGTACTTAAAATTCTACTAGAAGAACCCTTTTTAAATAGTTGTATTGTACCTGGATTAATATGATTGATTGTTTTGCTTTCTTGTTTTTGCATTTGCATATTTTCACGCCTGCATTTGTTTCATCACAGAAAATATTCTTTCTTTACCAAAATAAATGAATGAAGTTGATTCTTTAGAAATTTTGTATATTCGAAATTTCATATCAATATTGTTCATGTCTTCATGATGGGTTTAAACTTCTTCAACAAGGAATAGATTTCAACATTTATATGCCAGTGAGATCTTATGAAAAGAAACATTATATTATGTTCACATATGATCCAAAAATCCTCAAGGTTTCTATAATCCCAAAATAATGGACTGTGACTTTAACACAAATCATTGCGTCGTCTCCTTGATGTTCTTCTACGTGCAGCCCATCTTTCCTTTATATCCCCAGGTAACCCAATCCGTTGCTTATCCGGCGAGTGACCATCCTCCATTTCTCCAGCTGCACGGATCCTGGCAGTCTCAGCCAATAAGTCATGGATGAGCATCTCTGTCGTCTTGGCCGTGATTCCTCTGAGATACCAAGAAATGGGAGGAGGTGGAACAATTGCTGGCTGTATTAGCTGGTCCAACGTCACCTTAGATCCGATCCTCCCTTTACCTCCAGTGCACCGGTTATACTCCTCTAGCGTTTTCAGTTTCATACGATCACACATATGTTCGTCCACAAACAAAGGCTTAACTTGCCAGCTTCCTTCGAATCTCTTCATGAATCCACTCTTCACTTGCTTGAATTTCATCTGCAACACCCATTTAAATCCCTTTCACGAACCATTCAAGAAATTTGAGACTTTTGTTATAATTGGAGAGGTCTTACAGAGTGATCTGCACGGTTCTGATCCACCAAGACATGAACTGAGATTGTTCCTGACCACCAGAGAAATCTCCACAAAGCTGCTTGTTCTACTTCCACCACTTGCCTTAACCCGTCATCTACCAATACTTTCCGCGACATAACCTCCTGTGATTTTGAGGCCAATGAATCACAGGAGCTTAACTCTTACAGAGAACAAGATACATATAAAACATACCTTAATATTTTTGAAGACTCTTCTATTGTCAGGGTCAATCACAATGTTATAGACTGCATCAGGAGGTAAACCAACATTCACCTCGGCTTTGAGATTGCAAAGCGATCCTTTTGGAATACTCACCTGCAAAGAATCTTGTTATTATCTGTCATAAAACAAGATTCTCACTGGCTCTGATAAGACCATGTGGTGAAGTGAAGTCTCTTTTGATTGTTCACCTTAACGACTGGGATCTGATCAGTCCACGAAGGGTTTTCTCTCCACATATCTAACTGTTTCTCCAGATCAATTTCCATGGAGCTCGACGACCCTTCTTTATCATGCCTCCATGAAGAACCAATCCCATGCTTATCATCTGTCAAATTCTTAAGCTGGGACTGTGACAAAAGAGAACAAAATGGTTCCATTTTCAGCTCTTTGAAAAGATTAATAACATCACAAGGAATTGAAAAGCAATGTGTGGAATCAGAGCCTGACCTTAAGACAGGTTTGGAGTTTCTGAGAAAATCCAACGAATCGAGAGAGTGCAGGATCAAACACACTTGAGACCACATTTCTCTTGTTTCTCTCCGTGTCTGAACCAGGATTGCCCATTTATTCTCTGCACAATGTCTAAGGCAATCAACATTCAAAAGTTCACAACACCAAACCATGAGCTCAGAAAGTGAGCAAGAAAACAAAAAATTGTATCAAAAAGTGAAAGTCTCTTAATTTAATACATTATACACCAAAACCAGAATTTAAACTCAGAGATTATGACAAGAAATAAGTTAATACTCACGACGAGTCACGAAGAAACACAGCCCAGAAAAAGCACCTGTAAAATCACAATCAGATCCGAAGCAGAGAACCAGTTTAAAGCGAGAGATGGGTCTTCTTTTTTCTCCGACAATCGTCACCAAAATCGAGGACCCAGACCAGATCTTACAACAGCGATCGACAAAGTCTAAATGACAGACAGAGGTCTAATCGTATGGAAGCTTTATGTTGGTTTTGTGTCACACAAAGAACCATGTGATACACGCCTAAACACGTTATTCCACGGAAGAAGAAGACGAAATTAACAAGCTTTGAATCGCGATGCGACGGATTCTAGAGTGGCAACTTTCTCTTTTTTTTTTCGTGTCTAGACGAAAGAGACCATTAAGGAACACGATTGCCACGTGTCGGATTTTAGCTGGTCTTAGCGCGGAAAAAAGAAGCTAACGTTGAAATCCTCGCCACTTTTTGGAAAACTGCGTGCCGTTTTTAGATGCTATGAAAACTGCGTGCCGTTTGTAGCATATTTTTCTCGCATTTGTTTTCTAACGTACCTTTTTTTGGTTTCACTAACTTTTATGATTCTAAAAGATTGTATTGAGTGCAAATGTGGTAGAAATGGAATGAGTATACAAAGTTCACGAGTATCAGTGGCGTGAAATTTTTTCACTAATTTGTTCTACTTTTTGACCCCATCAAATTATGGGTTTAAGATATCAAACTTTTTAGGCTTCTAGTGAAGTGTCTAAAGTTTTAGGCTTCTACAATTCACACTCGTCTTTAGTTTTCTTCAACTAACTTGCGAAGAACCGCAAAATCGTAATCACTACAATAATGTCATTAGTTTCTTGCAAAGAAATTTGTAGCTTTTTATTGAGAGGATGGACTGAAGTTTGTGTTATGAATTATGTCTCATGAGACCATTAACTATGTATTTCTATTGTAAACCTAAAATGTTTTCATTTTCAAATGAATTATTTCTATTTAAAATTTTTTTGAAAAAATGGTGCAAATTTATCAACCACAACACGAGGTTCAATCTGCTACAACGTTTCTTGCAAAAAAATTAACATACGATTTGTGATTTTTCAATTCACCAAGATAGAAGGATCTTTTGTTTTGCTCTCAAAGACTTGAAGGAGTTATGCTTATGCAGGGAATATTTTTATTTCCTCGTGAAAAAAGAAAAAAGAAAAGCTATAATCAAAATTCAAAATCTAAAGGTGATCGCAATAGACAAGGCCACCGTAATTGAAAAGAAGATAACATTGTGAACACTTTAACATTTTCTGAGGAAGAAAAAGACATTCAAGGAGACAAAAAGTTTGAAAGAAATATGAAAAAGAAAAGAGGAAAATAATATTTGCGTGAAAGAATGAACATAAAATGTGTTTTACACTAATCCCTATGTTAAATACATTCCGATTACATTCTCTCTTGTGGAACCCCACTCTAAAACGACTACCTACAGAACTAAAGTAAATAGAATCAGTTAGAAAGAAACTAACAAGAAGGGTTAACACTTCACATTAAAGAAGATTTGGTGGTGGATGAGTATTATTTGCAAAACTAGTGGATCCATAATCCAACTTTTATTTGAAAATGCAAAATCATCATTTTGTTCTCCTGATATTTAGCCCAACTTTATAACAAATATTTATATATAAATATATACTTCCTCTGTTTCACAAAGAGTGTCATTTTAGAATTCTGCACACAGATTAAGAAAACATTAAATTTTTTGTTTTTTCTAAACAAAAACATCATTAACTATATACCTAAACATAATCTGCTCAATAGTAAAACAATATGTAGAATACTAATAGTCATAAAACATAAAAAAATCATTAAATTTTGCATTGAAAACATAAAACGACACTCTTTGATAAACAAAAATAAAACCTTAAAACGACACTCTTTATGAAACGGAGGGAGTATAGAATACACAAGATTCATTCAAGCACTACGGAATTGAAAATTGGAGATTGAAGAGTAGAGAAAAAAGTGTATAAATTAATGGGAAATGGGAATGTAAAGAGTAGAGTCAATGATTGGTAAAGCATCTTCCCACTCAACAAATCTTTAATTCATCTTTTCTTGGAAACAATGAAATTGTGTCTCATCTTAAAATACTTAACCAAAATCCCACTTTCTCTTCATACAAAGCAATCAGAAAATGCTCTAAAGTGCATCTAGTGAACAAACCCACATTGTTGATAAACAAAAGAAAAGGAAAGAAAACATAACTATATTTCTTTATTAAAGAAAACAAAAAACAAACTGATAATTTCCACAAAAGTAAGCTATAGGCAACTTTATTTCAAAAAAAAAAAAACCATGTCTCACATCCACCTTAATACAGAGAATGATCATGGAAAGGAGTATACTAGTACTATTAATACATAAGTAGTCCTCAACATCACACAGCTCCTAAAGCATATCTCACCAAAATCACAATCAAAACCAAACTCACCAAGAAAATAAAAAAAATGGGAGACCAACCACAAGAGATTCAGCAACCTCTTCTAGTGTATCCATCTACTTCTTCTTCTTCTTCATCTTCTTCCTCGCCTTCATCCACCGGTTCAAGTGGCTCGTTTGGTACAGCATTCATCGTTCTAGCCGCAATCCTTGTCTTGGCAGCAATGGCTTGTGTGTTTGGAAGACTATGCAACCGCGGTGGAAAGCAACACAAAGACAAAAACAACAACAAAACTTCCAAGCATGAGAAACCGTCGTCAAAGAAGAGCCGTGAGATCAGACCTGTGGAGCGTGAGCCAAGAGAAAGAGGTGATGTGGAGTTTGGGTTCGATATGAAGCGGCCTGGTCCTATGAGCAAACCCACTGGTCGAAACGGAGGAGACATAGAATTTGGGTTTGATAACAAGAGAGGAGGAGGAGGTGGAGGAGGAGGAGGAGGAAAAGGAGGGAAAAGACCACCTCCGGTTATATATTAACCATGTGTAAGGCCACCGCAGACACGGAGGTTTCGACTTCAAGCTCCGGTCAGAACACTGTCTTAATAAGACAAGAGAATTCATCATGCTTCTTCACTTTATCCTAATTCTTGTTTGTTTGTTTTGTGTCGTTTGGTTTTGTTTCATATTGGTATGGAACTTAGATATCAAAAATTATATATGAAAGCAGAAAAAAATATGAGATAACAAGTAAAAATTTACAAGCTCAATATGTAAAAAAAATCAGAAGATGGAGTTCTTCATTTATGTTATCACACTCAACAAAAATCCGAAACTCAACAAAGAGAAACAAACAAAAGCAAACAATTCAGATTCAAAATCACTCTTTGAGAACTATTATGAGTCCTTTTTCCTTTTTGGTTGCTTTTTTCTGTTCTCACCTATAATAAGTCTTTTCAGGCAAATGGCCATTATGGAGCAAAACTAAATGTAGCTAGCAAGAAAAGTATCTCACACAAAAAAAGGTACAAAGAGAGCATTAATGCTGTACAAAGAGCTCAAGCATGAGGGATAATAAGGTATAAGTTGACCTATTTTTGGATCAGAAGCGCCGGTTATTGAAGTTTCGGTTCTCGGATTCATTCCTCGTGAACTCAGAGGAAGCTCCGTTGGATCCTTTCCGGGAGCCTTGGGCAAAGTACTCTCCACTGTACATCCCGGAATCCGAGCTATCGTCAAAACCAAACGCCATTTTCCTGAACTTCATGGTGTCATTGTTATACTGACCAGAGTCATAAGCACTGCTTTGTCCCACTTTGTTTCCGTTGCTGATATCTCCCATGTCCCCTTCACTATCCAGTGCTCTCACAACCTTATTTCAAACAAGTTCTGTGTAAGTTTTCAAATTTTATAAACTAGAACATGACATGTATAAAAATTTTATTTGTTGCTATATATATGTTAGATTTGATTAGTCATATATAGTGCTGCTATTAGAAAGGTACCTGAACCATGCGTGGACGTTTTGGACCAGAATGCCTAACACAAGCAGCAGCTGTTTCAATCATTCTGAAAACTTCATTCTCCACGTAATGCTTTTCAAGCCGCCTGTCAACTAGTTCGCTGAAATCGCCAGTCTCAATGGCTTTGTGAAGCAGTGGACGAGCCTGTGAGTTCATAGATTCTGTCATTTAAATAACTAGAGCCAAGTCCAACCATATATGGAGATGTCAAGACAGATTAAGTATTTACCCATTCAACCAAACTCTCTTCTCCCAAAGGCTGGTACTGGTCAACTGGTTTGCGTCCGGTTATAAGCTCTAAGAGAACAACCCCAAACGAGAAAACATCTGATCTATCAGTCAGCTTTCCACTTTGTGCATATTCGGGTGCCAAGTACCTGAAAACAAAAGCCAACAAAACAGAGGCTTATGTACTTCGCAACGATTTATATGTTATTGATATTTGGCAATAAGAACCGCTTAGTATACCTTCTAACCTCTCTATACAAGCACATTATCATACCTAGAAGTTTAAGCACCTGATACTACTAAAGACTTTTCTTCTCAAAAGATAGGTTTGCTATGAGTAGAGTGTGTGATCAATCTTACCCAAAGGTTCCCATAACGCGAGTTGATACATGAGTTTGGGTTGAATCATTGAGTTTGGCAAGTCCGAAGTCAGCAACCTAAACACCAAGAAACAGAAAAGTAAGAACAAGTAAAACTTCAGAGCCAAAGCTCCAAAAAGAGCAAGTGTTCAAAAAAAAAAAAAGATTGCCTGAGCTTCAAACTCATCGTCCAGCAAGATGTTTGCGGACTTTATGTCCCTGTGAATGATTTTTGGGTGACCTGCAAAACAAAACATACGTAAATAAAGTCTCTTTGATTCAGCTTCTCTTTGGACTTTAAAAAGCATAAACGTTGCAAAAAGTGCTTACAGTCTTCGTGCAAATACGCCAAACCTTTGGCAGAACCTATAGCAATCCTAACTCTCCTAGCCCATTCAAGGACAGGCCTTCCCTTCCCTGTCAAGAACATAACCCATGTAAGTAAAAGAAAAACATGTCAAGAAAATCTTGTCTGATGAGGAAAGTGGTAAAAGAACCTCACCATGCAAATGATGCTCCAAGGTTTGGTTAGGAACATACTCATAGATAAGCAATCTCTCTGAATCCGCAATGCAGTAGCCAACAAGAGAAACCAAATGGCGATGATGAACACGGCTAATGATCTCAACCTCTGCCTTAAACTCACGGTCACCTTGTCCGCTACCAACCTTAAGCTGCTTAACGGCAACAAGTTTTCCATCATTTAGTTTACCTTTGTAGACACAACCAAACCCTCCTTCTCCAAGTATGTTTTGCTTAGAAAATCCTTCTGTTATATCTGTTAGCTCTTCATAGGTGAAATGTGTCTGACCACTTCCCATCACCGCTGAATCAGGCGCACTCCCTGACCGTGTATAACCTCCTCCTCGTTGGCTGCCGAAGCTATTTCCGGAATTTGATTGTTGTTGTGAATTGTAACCACCAGGACCAGAGTATACCTTTGTAGAATTTTGACCGTATAAGAATCCATCTGCGAAAGAAAAAGTTTAAACATTTGTGTATCTTCTTGAAGACGAACACGAAGCTGAGAGATGGATCAAGATTTCACCTGATTTGATGGAGAAGTTTGAAGGAGGCAAGTATTGTGAGTCACTGTATGCATCAATGTTTCTCTTTTTCTTTCTTCTGACTAAGAACACAACAGCCATCAAGGCAATGACTGCGAAACCGGCTACTGCAAAACCGACCATAGTCTTCCCTTGATAGCCATTTGGAGGTGACGGGACTCCTCTAGATGGCGGTCCACCTGCAGCGGTAGACTTAGGTGGTAATGCGTGAGAAGTGTTATGCGGCGGGGCGTTTGGAGGAGCTGGAGGAGATATGGCGGGTGCTGAAGGAGATTTTGTAGGTCCCGGAGGGTGTTTTTCCGGTGTTTTGGGTCCAGCTTGCGGTGAAGACGCTGGAGGAGGTAATTGTTCCGGAGGCGGAGGAGCAGGAGGGCTTTCTGCATTGGGAGGAGGCGGTGGTGGTTCAAACACCTCCGGAGGTGGAGGGGAGTTGGTGGACTCCGGCGGCGGTGAGTCTACCGGTGAAGGTGGAGGTGGAGGTAACACAATGGGAACCGGCGGTGGAGCATCTGCCGGAGGGGGTGGAGGTGAAGAACTTGGCGGCGGGGTTAAATCAACAAGCGGAGGAGGAGATGAATCAGGCGGCGGAGGAGGGGATGAGACAACTGGCGGAGGAGATGAATCAGCCGGCGGGCCAGGAGGTGGTGCCGAATCCGTAGGTGGAGGGGCGGATCCGCCGGTCGAGCTATCCGGCGGCGGAGCGGAATCAGCAGACGGTGCTGGTGGAGAAGAACTCGGCGAATCTGACATTCCTTCTTCTTCTTCTTCTTCTGATTCTGATTCTTCGCCTTCTCTGTTTCAGCGAATAACTCTGCTTCTAAAATCACTTCACAGAAGCAGAGTTATCGTCTCTCTCTCTCTCTCTAATGAAAGTAAACCTCCTTATTCATCAATTGATTAAAACAACTCTCAGAAAACAATTGACTAATCAAACCAAAAAAAAAAAACACAACAGGAAGCAAAAGAAATTTTATTTTACTCTGTTCTGCAAGTGGAAACAACTAATTTAAATCTGAACAAAGATTTTTCTAATTACAAAACAAGAAAAATGGAGGGTTTACAAAGAGAAGAATGCGTGCCATTACGGAATTATAAAATTGACGATGTCAAGGTTAAAAGAAAATTAATGGAGGTCCTCTATCTCTCTGTGTATTTTCCCGGGAAAATTAATAAAAATTGAAAGGAATAATTTGTAACAGGTCGCCATGACCTTTTTGAATTTAGTGATTGATGATAAAGACTAAAGAGTTTATTGGAGGCACGTCGTGTGGTGTGGGCGTTTGATCCAAAAATGCGGCTCTCTCTAAATTATATTATTTGTTTTGAATTTTGTTTTTGCTCCCTTCACTTTTGGAATATCCGGGTTACCGCGCAAAGTTGATGGATTCTTTTCTGACCCGACACGACCCGACCCAACCCGTTTGAAATCTGTCAGTTCTGTGACGTGTTTCTAATTCGAAACTTCTGTGATGAATTTAAAATTAGTCCTGAACCAGGCTTTTAAAGCCCAAAATATACTTGGGCCTCTTGATTTCTCCTGGTCTCCTAATGATAGAAATCTTTTCTTTTGGTCATAATATCATTTGTTTGTAATGTAACCATATTTTTGCATGGTGCATTCGGAGTTTCGGACATGATTTCAATGCAAGAAAAACTAATTATTGAAATAACATAATTTCAGTGCAAGAAAAAATAGTAACATAGTATATTTTTAATATAAAATCATTATTATATCTGAATAATTATCCAAGATTCAGAGTTATGTGACGTGGAAGCAAGACTATTAATGTTCAATTTATTTGTTTATTCACCTTTAGGAAAGAAAAAAAAAATAGAAGAGAATTCGTACACTGTTAAGATGTGAAGTAACCGACATTGAAATATGTAAACACGCATCATTTTTTTATCTGGTTTAAGATGCAACTCTATTTGGTTAATGATGTATTTCAATTTCAAGTAAGTAAAGTTGTTATGAAAAGTGAGATCAGCATCCCTTCAAATTCTTCTCTCCACACCGTAGTCTCGTAGCGATTAACCTCCCACTTAATTCAAGATGCACCTCTTTTCTTATTTATATCAGACTCCTTCTTACTCTCGTGTTTCCTTCTCTCGTGTCGATTCTGATAAGAATCATACATCACACGTGTGAGCAACATAGTCCCTGATACCACTCCTTTTACTAAAGTGGACCCGATGTCCTTTATCACAACTTTAGTCTGACCAGATTCATAACCACTGCTTTGTCCCACTTTTCTTCCATTGCTGATATCTCCCATGTCCCCTTCACTATCCAGTGCTCTCAAAACCTTATTTCAAACAAGTTTTGTGTAAGTTTTCAATTGTTTTTATAAACTAGAACATGACATGTATATAATTGTTATTTGTTGCTATATATGTGAGACTTGATTAGTCGTAGTGCTGCTACAAATAATGTTATTATATAGAAAGATACCTGAACCATGCGTGGACGTTTTGGACCAGAATGCCTAACACAAGCAGCGGCCGTTTCAATCATTCTGAAAACTTCTTTCTCCACGTAATTCTTTTCCAGCCGTCTATCAACTAGTTCGCTGAAATCGCCGGTCTCAATGGCTTTGTCAAGCAGTGGACGAGCCTGTGTGAGTTCATGGATTATGTCATTTAAATAACTAGCGCCAAGTCAAACCATATATTGAGATAAGTATTTACCCATTCAACCAAACTCTCTTCTCCCATAGGCTGGTACTGGTCAACTGGTTTGCGTCCGGTTATAAGCTCTAAGAGAACAACCCCAAACGAGAAAACATCTGATCTATCAGTCAGGTTTCCACTTTGTGCATATTCTGGTGCCAAGTACCTGATAACAAAAGCCAATAACATTAGAGGCTTATGTACTTTTCAACAATTTGTACCTTCTAACCTCTCTATACGTACTAGTTCATCACTATCAGATTTAGAAGGCTAAGCACACTGGTACTACGAAGGACTTTTCTTCTCAAAGTGGAGATACTTTAATAGGTTCACAAAAAGAGTACCCCCATTTCGTGAATTACGGAATTTATTCCAGTGATCCATAAACAAGTGAAAATCTATTTTTTCTTTTACCCTTATCCCGATGGAGAGTATGTGATCAATCTTACCCCAAGGTTCCCATAACGCGAGTTGATACATGAGTTTGTGTTGTATCATTGAGTTTGGCAAGTCCAAAGTCAGCAACCTAAACACCAAGAAACATAAAACTAAGAACAAATAAAACTCTTATCAACTAAAACTACAGAGTCAAAGCTCCAAAAAGAGCAAGTGTTCAAAAAAAGGATTGCCTGAACTTCAAACTCATCGTCCAGCAAGATGTTTGCGGACTTTATGTCCCTGTGAATGATTTTTGGATGACCTGCAAAACAAAACATACATAAATAAAGTCGCTTTGATTCAGTTTCTCTTTGGACTTTAACATCGCAAAAACTACTTACAGTCTTCATGCAAATACGCCAAACCTTTGGCAGAACCTATAGCGATTCTGACTCTCCTAGCCCATTCAAGGACAGGCCTTCCCTTCCCTGTCAAGAACATAACCCATGTAAGTAAAAAAAAATCATGTCAAGTAAATTTTGTCTGATGAGGAAAGTGGTTAAAGAACCTCACCATGCAAATGATGCTCCAAGGTTTGGTTAGGAACATACTCATAGATAAGCAATCTCTCTGAATCCGAAATGCAGTATCCAACAAGAGAAACCAAATGGCGATGGTGAACACGACTAATAATCTCAACCTCCGCCTTAAACTCACGGTCACCTTGTCTGCTACCAACCTTAAGCTGCTTAACAGCAACAAGTTTTCCGTCATTTAGTTTACCTTTGTAGACATAACCAAACCCTCCTTCTCCAAGTATGTTTTGCTTAGAAAATCCTTCTGTTATGTCCGTTAGCTCTTCATAGGTGAAATGTGTCTTCCCTTGATAGGGACCGCCATTTGGAGGTGGCGGGCTAAGAGGAGTAGATGAATCAGGGGACGGTGCTGATGGAGAAGAACTAGGCGAATCTGACATTTCGTTCTTCTTCTTATGATTCTTCACCTTCTTTGAATTGTTTTTGTTATCCAAAAACAAAATCACTTCATAGAAGCAGAGTTATCGTCTCTGACCAAAACTCTCTAATGAAACTATACCTTAATTCATCTATTGAATTAAAACAACTCCTAGAAAACATTTGACTAATCAACAAATATTATTTTCCGTTCTGCAACTAGTTAAAATCTGAAAATTAAGCTCCCAAATAAACAATCGGGTCTAAAATTGACGATGTCAAGGTTAAAATTAACGGAGGTACTCTTTCTCTATTTGCCTCTTATTCTAAAATTGACAATGTCAAGTTAAAAACTTAAAATTAATGAAGGTACTCTTTTTCTATTTGCCTCTTGTGTGTATTTTCCCGGGAAAATTAACAAAGTTTTGGAAGGAATAATTTGTAACAGGTCGCCATGATTTTTTTTAAAATTTAGTGAGTTGCTGATAAAGAGTTTATTGGAGGCACGTCGTCGTCTGGGCGTTTGAAATCTGCCACGTCGGATTAATAGGAATGAATTTAGATAGCCATGAACCAGGCTTTTAAAAGCCCAATACTTTGTTGGGCCTTTTGATTTCTCCTGGTTTTCAAAATGATAGAAATTTAGGAATAGTGTTTTCTTTTTTTCTTTTTTTATGATCACATGGAATGGAATATGTTTTCTTTATTTCTTTCTTTTGGTCATAACATCATTTCATTTTTTTGTATCGTCTGTAACTTATCCATTTATATATCCGTCTTTAAGCATGGTGCATGACTGCATTCGGACAAGATTTCAATTTGAAAAAAAAAAAGAAAAAAAAAAGAATTATATTTAGTTATTGTAATTATGTTATTTCAAAAATAATTCATTGAATATTTCTTCTTTGATATTCTTGTATTATTATACATGAATAAATGTAAAAAAAAAATCAGAATTATGTGATGTGGAAGGAACCTAATGGAAGAATTTTCTATCAACACTCAATTTCACAAGTTAACCTCTATCTAGGAACAAAAAAAAAATACGTAGAAGAGAATTCGTACACTATTATAATAATACATGTAACCGACATTGAAATATGTAACCACGCATATTTTTTTCTTCCATTTTGTCGTAGGTACACGCATACATTTGGTTTAGATTAATTTTTCTGGTATTCTCATACATTCCACCTAAGTACAATATTGTTATAAGTTTTAGTACCCATTTTACCCCCCAAAAATAAGTTGTAGTACCAATGCCCATATTCTAAAAAACAATAAATAGACTAACAGCTTAGACCATCTTTATTAATGGGTTCTTAAGAAAATCTTAAGATTATCTTAGTAATTTTTTAGTATTATTACTAAGAACTAAAATTAAAATTTACCTCTTTTTGGCTCTTAGGTAAGCAACTCCCTTAACTCATCTTAACTTTGGTTCTTAGTAATAATACTAAAAAATTACTAAGATCATCTTAAGATTTTCTTAAGAACCCATTGATAAAGATAGTCTTAGTCACAAACCATAATCACATCATTTCAAATTCAAATTTTATTATGTTTTTTTTTTTTTAAACACATACTGAATGTTATAGTTACGAAATAACGTTGGGGTTTCTCATTTCTAAATATAGTCTAAAAGGGTAAAATGGTAATTGAATAAAAATAGAATTAGAAATTAGAAAACTTGTTGTCCAAGTTTTCGCTTTAAACGTACGAACAAATCACCACACCGCCACACTCTCTCTCACCTTTATAACTGTAGATCCCTAAAACCGCCATTGAAACAAACATTTTCTCCTTTTCCTCAAGAAAACCTTCTCTCTCTCTCATCCTTCTAATGGCGGCACAAGTCGAGATCGAAGATCAAGAATCCGTCACCAATTTAGACAACGGCGAAATCATCAACCCCGGTTCTCAACCACCTAACTTCTCCGGCGAATCAACGATTCTTCTCCGTGAATCAACCTTCGAACACGACCTCGTCAAAAACTGTTTCCTCACCGGAATGGGATCATTCGCCAACGAGACAACAATCGTCACCGTACGAAAAAACTCAACGGAGAGAAGAATCACAACCAAAGCTAAATTCGCTGTGTTCAAGATTTTCACAGAAGCTATGACGAAGAAGAACAACGGAGACGCCAATGTTAAATACGGATGGTACTCTGGTTCCAAAGAAGAGATCGATCGTGTTATTACGTATGGATTTAGTAATCGTGAGATCGAGAAATTCGAAAACGACGTCGGATCTCACGGTGTTGGAATTCATCTTGTTCATCATCGATACTCTCTCGCTGCGTAAGTGTTTTTTTTTTTTCTTCAGATCTAAATTAGTTTTTGATGAAACAGTGAAATTGATGATGATGATGATGATGATGATTCAGGGCTTTAGTTGGTGAAGGTGATGAAGAAGGGATAAAGAATATTCTCTTATGCCGTGTGATTCTTGGTAAACCGGAACAAATCGAAGCTGGTTCTAAACAATCGTACCCGAGTTCGAACCGATTTGATTCTGGTGTTGATAATCTTGAGAATCCAAGAAAATATGTGATTTGGAGCTCTAACATGAATTCTTACATTCTTCCTACTTATATCGTCAGTTTCAAATCTCCTCTTCTCAGAGGTAACAACTTCTTCAAGATTCTTTTTGTGGTTAGAGAGTGAAATTAATAAATTTTTTTTTTTTTTGGTTTCAGGTCTAATTGGAAGAGCAAGGTCACCATGTGTTAGCTTCTCTGCTCTTATGTCAATTCTTTCGAAGTCACTTGATGTTACAAGAATGAACTTGATTTTGACAAGTTATGATGATTTTAGGGTAAGTTTCAACTTTCAAATCAAATCCATTAGTGTGTGTGTGATGGTCTCTCTCTGATTTTATATCTTGTATTTGTGTAGAAACGGAAGCTGAGAAGAGAGCAGCTAGTTAGGAAGATTAGGGAAGTGGTTGGAGATCATCTTCTTTTCAAGATACTCAAGAATCAGAGGCGTTAAAAAGTGTGTTAGGGTAAGTCTACTTTAAAAAATAAAAACAAGATTTTTTCATAATCAGTAATATAATTAAATGTTTTTTCTTATGGAGCAAGGTCTAATACTTTTCTTGTTAAGATGAAATCTATGCCTTAATAAGTTTGTGAAAAGAATCTTTATTGTTTACTTGTAGAATAAGTCAGATGAGTATTGATCACACACTTTTGTTTTTCTTGGCAGAGGACGTTACAGATTTTACCTGAAGTAGCCAAAGTTTAACAGAAGCTGATGATGCGTAATGGAGTTAGGTTTGAAACAAGAAAGAAACACATTTTACACATAGTATATATATAGAAATATAGACTTCTGCAATGGAAATCACTCTAAAAATCACAAAAAAAAAGGTAGACTTTCTTTTTACTTTTTTGTTTGTTTTTATGTGTTAGTTGTATAAACCAAAATTTACGTTAGTAATACAAATAGACACTTGGTAAAAAGCCCAATGCCCATTTGCTTGCTTTTGTCACTAATGAATTTATGTTATTAAAAAAATAAGAGTGAATCTGCGCATATATATAAATATTGAATACATAAAAGAATTTATCTTTCTCCATTAAGCTTAAGGAATGTTGCTGCTGCTGCTGCTGCTAATGAGAGAGCTGATCTGTTGTTCTAGCTGCATAACATATAAAAACATTTTAGTTGGATCTCTAAAATTCAATCTTTTTTTAGTATGACTTTACTTCTACATTTTGGTTTTTACCTGACTATTTATTTCTTTTCTTCTCTGAACTTCCTCTACAAGCTTCTCAACACTGAAAATTCATTAAAGACCTTACCTCAACTTTCTTAACAATCTTAATCCAAAACAAACAAACAAAAAAAAATGAAGGAGTTATGCCAATTTACCTTTGCTCCAAAAACTGAACTTGAGATTGTAGATCTTTCTCCTTTGATGGATATACCTGTGAGTTTTCATGCTATTAGTTATGTGCTTTCTAAGTATTTAAGCCAAATCAGAAAAAGAAGTTACCTGCACTCCTTCGGTTTTTGAGATCGGATTTTCAGTTCCCGCAGTTCGATCAAAAAATCTAATTAACCTTATTACTTTCGCCTGCCAAGAAAACAAATACAATGTAAATCTTTCGGAAGCTAAATCTAAATAATCATTTAGGAGAGTGTATGCACAAGAAGCGGTTGAAACAGGCAACACACACACCCTTTGAATGTCATTCTGAACCAGGAGACTCTGTAATAGTGGGAGGATTTCCTTTGATGGGGAAGATTCACCGTTCACAGGACTAACTATATAGCCGTTTTTTGGTTTCTCCTGGTAAGGAACATTGTTTTCAAATTTGAGTAAGGAATCACAATCTAAGAACCGCATGATATTATATTCAAAGCAATCCAAAATTACCTGCTCATTTCCTGCTTTTCTAATTTGCTTTGTATCCGCTAATGGTTCCTTTGATGTGGAAGATTCACGGTTCACAGGACTAACTGCGTAACCATTTTTTGGTTTCTCCTGATAAGGAACATTGTTTTCAAATGTGAGTAAGTAATCACAATCTAAGAACCTCATGACATTATATTCAAAGCAATCCAAAATTACCTGCTCACTTCCTGCTTTTCCAATTTGCTCTGTATCCGCTAATGGTTCTAGTTGATGTGGCTTTCCAAGAGCGAGCTTCTCTGCAACTCCATCGCTCGAGCAACATGCATTTCTTTCATCAGAAAGGATGCCAACTTGATACCTGCTCCAATATATTTATTTCAAAGTTGTATAAGCAAACACACACAGCAAAACATCATAAGGGGAGGCTTCAAGTGAAACGCGACTCCACAGTCAGGGTCTACTAATGTATAGAGAAGAAAAATGTTATAAAGTACCCAATAGTCGGGAGGAATTTGCGATGAAATGAAGGAAGTAATGAACCGGTTAATTGACTGTAACTCTCACTCATCATATCCTGTAAGTTGGACCGGATATGACGAAATGTTAGCTGGAATTCAAAACAGGCACGCAGAGATAAAAAACATTTACCTTTTCTGAAAAAAATTCCAAAGGCATAGTCTGTGACCTTTGCATCACTGGCTTTCCTTTTGGTACATCTCCATTTGTGTTCAGTTCCTGAATCTCTGAATTGCACATTTCATCATTTGGAACCTGATAGCAGAACACTGAAGCATTGAGAGGGTGCGGGAAAAAACTAGTTTTACGTTTTCACTAAGACATGACCTTACTTACAATTGCTGCCTGCCTCCTCAAGTCTTCGAGATCAAAATTCCAAGCACTAATTCCTCTCATATACTCATGCTGCAAGAGAGCATTATAGGATTCTAAATTAGGTAGACCGCAACGATAATTTGAATAGACGAGCATCCCGACATATGGATTATGGCTTAGTTACCAAAAGGAGTAAGAGATGTTAACCATAAGTATTGAGGTATACCTGAGATAGCTGTTCTTTGTCACCATTTATGCCTTTAAACAACTCAGCCTCCGCCTCCTGTATAGCCAACATAAGAGAAAATGACAACTACTAATGTATAAAAGGTAAGTCATGAAGATTCTAAGTGCCAACAGAAAAGGAAATTCTTCAACTCACCTTGAGCTTTTTAAAACGTTCACCAAGCGGAGAAAGACCATGAAGAATTTTACGGGACAAATAATCTGTAGACCGAGCATGTTTGAAGAAAGGGTGTTTCAGAAGTTTTGCTGCAGTTGGACGCTTTTTTGGATCTTTAACTAAGCAGGCTGCGATTAACTCTCTAAACGACTGCGAACAGGTTAGGGTCTAAGTGAAAGATATAGAATCTACTTTTATATGTTTGTGTTATCATTAAATCCCACTTACCTTTGAGAATTTCTTATCTCTGTCATAGTCAAGACGAGGAGGAGCATTTTGTAATGTCATTAATAGCACCTTCATAGGTGGATATTTTGAAAATGGAGCATGACCATGAGCAAGCTCCAGTGCAGTTATACCAAACGACCATATATCGGCTCTATTATACCAAACACAAAATTGTAAGAATCGATAACCAACTCGCTTTATGATTGCTATACAGATAGACTAGAAAAACGCAGATATACTTGAAATCATATCCATCTACTTGCTGCATAACCTCAGGTGCCATCCTGTAGAAGCCAAAATATATACCATCGGCTAAAACAAACCAACCAAATAACAAAACATATAGAGAAATTAACAGCGTACCAACAAGGCGTCCCAACGAATGTATTCCTAGTACGCATCCTTTCTCCGCTATCAAACATACATGCTGAAACTCCAAAGTCTCCAAGTTTAACTACGCCTTTTGAGTGAATCAATATATTCCCAGCCTAGAAACAAAGCATGTAAACAAACAAACTAAACAGAGACGAAAACAGAGACTTTTTCTATCCTTTAGTAAAAGTACCTTAACATCTCTATGGATATGACCTTGTCGATGAAGATAAACAAGCGCTCTAAGCACTTCCCTTAACAAAGTAGCGATTATAGGTTGCTCAAGACCTTCCGGATATACAGATTTCATTAAATGAAAACAAGAACCACCAGACATATAAGGCATTACAATCCACAAACTACTACGATCGATAAACGAACAATGCGCTTTCAATAAATTCGGATGATCTATTAAACTCATAATATGAACTTCCTTGCGTATAGTTTCCTGCGTGAACAACAAGCAAATGTAAAGCTTCATACAAATGTATCGTATTTTTGTTATGGTAATGACAACAATTCAAAGATTTGAGAATACGAACCAAATCGTTTCTGCATTTTTCGAGGTCCAAGATTTTAACGGCGACAATCTCGTTAAGAGCAATGCAACGAGCTTTGTAAACAGTAGCACTAACACCTTCACCTACCTCTTCAAAGAGCTCATAATCTTTAGCATAGAGAGGAAATCTCTTCGTTGATGAACCAGCCATTCTCTAATTCGTAGCCTGTGTGGGTTGTTGTTGTTGGCGTAGAAGGAGAAGGAGGAGGAGGCTACGAGAAAGAGGTAGAAGAAGGAGAAGAAGACGAGGATCTTGTGAAGAAGGAGAGAAAGTAAGATTCGAATCTATGGTCCATAGAAAAAAGATAGGAGGAGGATCTAAGACAATGTAAATGACGATGATTTTGGTGAAGAATCCAACAACTCTCTTTCTTTTTGGTGATTTTGACCAGACAATGTCTTGATTTAGTAAAAATCTAATCCGATTTTCAATTGGATCCTCTCTTTTCGTCTTCTTCTGATTTTTTTTTTCTTTTTTTTGAGGAAATAATTAACAAATGCCGATTTTCTCTTGAAATTATTTATAAAAAAATACGAATAGCGATTTTTATTTATAAGAGTTTTTTTTTTCTCTGTTACTATAAACTATCAAATCTATAAAAGGTTATTATTTTGATAATAGACTTGTTGGTTTGCACTTTGCAGTGTTAAAATGATAAGTATTAAAAATATATAGTGATTTTTTGTTTTTACAATTTTTATTGAATTGCTTTTATTTTTTCTAAATACAGAAAACCTAAATTATAAGAATTTTTATGAACTTACCTATTCATTGATGACCACTTCATCAAACTATCATTGGGGATTTGCTTCCGTTTAAACTGCTGAAAAGTATTTGTGTTCTCCCATATAATCCAAGGGACAAGCCGATGGACTTCTTCATTGATGTATGGTTGAAGTTTATATAGATAAGTTTATATAATCTAGCACATCACACAATTTGTGAGGTAGTCTTCATTGGTATAGGAGGAGCCGCTGTCCGGTGTCGTGGATTTTTTCGTCTCCATCGGTTAGCCACTACTTCAAGTTTTTCTCTTTGTTGGTTTGATGGTAGGCAAGGTGTGATGTGCTAGATTCTGAGTTAGAGTTGTATTTTATGTTCTTTGTGCTTCGTTGCCTTCTTTGTTTCGGCATTGTTTTTCATTGGTAGTGTAGTTGTTTGAATCCCATCTTTTTGGGCTTAGTTTCCGAGGATATCTTGTTATCCGTCGGCTTAGTTTTCGGGGATGTGTTGTTTCCGCCGGCTTGGTTTTCGGGATTATGTTTTTAATCGCCGACTTTGTAACTTGCTTCTCTTTCATAAAAATTCTACCAGATGACCAAAAAAAAAAAAAAAAAAAAAAGGAATAGGCTAACGCCCAAATCTATCGAGATTTTGAACATGAGGATAACAAATAGTTTTTGATGTGTTCGTCGTATCCTCTTTAAAGCCCATTTGAGACTCTCTCCTCATGACTGTTTTAATCCTCTTCGCATTGGCCTAAATCTTTGATAGGAAGCTTAGAAACTTTTTGAATTATGACAAACTTTCTGTCATATATATCTTAGGAAGAAAACTAGACAAAGCCTCTCTTTAGAAGGCACACTCTCTATTACGCGCTCTTTAATGTTCAAAAATGATAAATCGAGCGTGTGTCTGGTTCAGTTAGAAACCAGGAGATAACAATTGGTTTTACCCAGATCTAACTTTGAACTAAAGCGAATAAAGTTGATGCTTTAG